GGAAGGGGCGTTGGTGTCGCTGCGCTTGAGGCTGAAGTGGTAGTACTTCTTGCCGGAGCCGATGGCCTCCTTGGTCTGGGGGATGAGCTCGGTGCGGCGCATGGTCTGGCCGTTCCAGAAGGAGGTGCTGGTCAGGGAGATCTTGGCGCCCTGCTTGGAGCCGGTGTCGGCGGGGTTCTTGAAGTCCTCGGAGAGGTTGACGTAGTCGGTGGTGGCGCCGGAGCCGTGGATGTAGTACTGGTAGGCGCCGACCTGGTTGCTCCAGGACCACTTATCGAGGTCGCTGGAGGTGGTCATGTCGTTGAAACGGCCGTCCCAGACGATGGCACCCTGGGCCTGGGTAGCCAGCAGAGCCGCTCTGGCGATGTTGACAGTGCTGAACTTCATTTTTGCGGGTATTTGAGTTGTTGTCTGAAGAGACTTGTGGTGTAAGTGAATGTGTGTGTGTGTGCTGTTGCCTGAACCGACCCGGTCGGCTTGGAGGAAGCTTGAATGAACGAATGGAAGGGGTGAGTGAAGAAAGAGAGGACGCAGGTCGCAGCAATCGATGCCTTGGCCGTGCTTCTAGAAGTTCAGTGGACGAGAGAATGAAGTTTTAAGCTCAAAAGCCAAGGGGAAGGGAAGAGAAGGGGCGGCACACGCTGGCGCTCACACTTCTTTATGTAGGACATGAATTTTCCACTCTCACGGTGGCCCTGGATGGGACGAACCGAACATCGAAGACCGTCTCGCTCCGTGATTCCCAGAAGGGAGATGACCCCGCAGGCCTAGCTGCGAGGAATAGAGTAGAGTGGCCTCCTTTGGGGGCATTGGGGCCTGCAGAAGCCACTCTGTCGGACGGCAAGGCTACCCGGTTCAGCGGGTGCTGGAGGGATCATGACATTGAGTTGTGTGTCTGCTTGGGTGTTTCTCCGTGCAGGCGAGGAAGGGAACAAATTAGATTGCGGAGTTGTGCCTGGCTTCAGGTGAGGCCATGGGCCATGAGGCCACGCCATACCGCAGCGAGACGCATGCAGGTACGGATGGGATCCCAGGCACGGCGGCAAGGTCAGCGTTTATTGCCAAGTTGCAGGCTATGGGGACGAGAGCCGAAGCCTGAAGGGGGATCGCGACGACCAACAGGCCGGGCAGGGCCTGGACTGGACTGGACGGACGGGCTTTGACTCCCCCCCAAAGAGCCCAAGTCTGCCTCCCAGCAGGGCGGCAGAGCGAGAGAAATCATCAAGGGTTGGCGGTGGGCGCTTTGTATAGATGAAGGCGAGTCCACATCTCGTTTGCGCCTTGTATGGGAGAAAAAGCAGGTCGATGCAGGGGGTTGTTTAAAGGTGACAGAAGTGAAGCTTTTCCCCTGGGAAATTTCCACGGAGGGCGGAGCGGGGCCACTAGACTCGATCGGGGGGCCTTTCCAGACGCTGTGAGCACTGTGAGCCCGGTGGGCGCGCCCCTATTCGGCACGACCGGGAACACCCTGAGCGAGTTCATCCCAAAAGTCAATTCATTCGATTCCCAGCGCTGTGTTTGACCGTTTGTTGTTGGTGGAAGATGATTCAAGCGTATTTTGACTCTGGAAGCCGATGAAGCCATCGGCTTTGTTACCGGCCACCCTGACCGTAGCACGGGACAAACAATTAGCAGCAAGTGATTATTGTCATGCAGTGAGAGACATGTTCAGGCCGACGATGGAAGGTCACAGTGTTTTCGGCTATCGCTTCAACAGCGGCACAACCCAAGCGGGAGATCGCCCAATAACGACAGGCATTTCCGTAAATCGGGCCCGACAATCCGAAGCGCCCACATCGCGCCCCCGGTTTTGTGTTGTGCACCGCTGTGTCCTGACCTGCGCTGCGGGCCTTGAGTCGGCTCCGGCACGCCAGTCGTCAGATTCAAACATCTCAACGTCCCCGATGGCACAATTGGCTAGCGCGTCAGACTGTTAATCTGGAGGTTGGTGGTTCGAGCCCACCTCGGGGAGATTCAGTGGTTAGATTCCACCTGGGAGTTGGTGATTTCTCTTTTGTCTTTTTGGCTTTTTTTTTTTGTCAATGACCACCAGTCCTTGTCCTCTATACGTCCTGCTCATGACCGCAGATATTCGCAGGCGCCCTTTCCCCATCGCGTCGCCCCCTTGTACACCCACATGCCCGGCGCGTTGCCACTTCTCAAACCCTCAATTGCGTCAGCGACCTGCGGTCCAATGCCTTCGTTCTTGATCCCCTCCAGCGGCGTCATGTAAGTCTTGAAACTGAACATAATGGCGCCCGTCTTGGGCAATCTGGTCAAAGTCTGCAGTTCCTGTCTAAGGCGGGTCTTGAAACCGTTAGCCGCGTATTTCTCTGACATGAAGGCTGTTCTGCGAACCTTGCTAATGTCAATATCCTCGTCCTCCTGCGGCTTGTCGCCGTCGTAAATGTGCAGCCCGCTGGGACTGAAGAGCCTTTCGCTCGTCGAGATAGACCACTAGCCCGCTGAATCAGTCCAAGCCCACCCATCTAGACAACTTCATGACCTACATTCATGCGCTTAACGCTCTTTCCCACCTGTAATCGGCTAAAGAAGCGTTCCATGCTGGCTCCGATCTTCTCATATGACGGCACGGGCGTGTGGATGTCCTTCAGCAACTTGCCCAGCTTGTCCGAGGGATCAAAGCCAGCTGGGTGGCAGCAGATGAACGCGACTGCGCGGTGGCCTTCTGGAGTCTCGACCAGCAGGAAGATGTCGTCTTCGATGGTTTCCCCCAGGGCTTGAAGCGCAGCGTTTGGGTCTTCGGGTGGCGTCAGAGGTAGCGATGTCTTAGTGACCTTGTTGTAGAACTCCTGGCCGTCTTCGGACAGGGCGAACATGGTTGGAAATCGAGCTGGCAGGTACTCTCCGAGCAGATACGTGTATGTCTCGTGGAGAGCCGGTATGCCTTCGGGGACAGCCCCTAGCACTGTGGGTGCGTGGTGCTTGATGGTCTCGCGACGTTCGTTGACGCGATCCAGGTAGTTGCTGTCCATGATGACAAGGTCGTCTGGTGTACTGCCCTGGATGGCTACGAGAGCAGACGGTCAACATGAGGACGAGGCGCCTGAAAAGACTGGACGGGCTCCTACTTACCCATGGTGATGTGGTAGACTGGCTTAAAAGGACGATGCTTGTCCGGTGGTGTCTGTTCCCAGTTGAAACATTTCAGAGGTGTGATGCCAGCAGCGCTGTCCATCTTCTCTGATGGTGGAGTCTCATGGGATATTTCCTGGACTTTGGTCAGACACTTGCCGGGAGAAGGATGTTCAACTCACTCACTTGGTTTAGGGACCGTCCTCTCCATCTCCACATAGAGAAGATGGCAACGGCCAACGCCAATGCTGCGAGGAAGAACATGTCTGGATCCTATTTTCTTTTATCTGGATGCCTACTCTGTGGCCCGAAAGAAGTTGAAATAAGTCTTTTCGTTCCAACAAGTGATATAAGTGTTCGATCAAAGCGATTGCAGACGTGACTCAACTCGTTCAACAACCCGAGTAAGGTGAGGGTCCCTGATATACGTCGACGGCCTAAGCCAAGATAGAGCGTTATCGGCCCAACCAGCTGGGTCTCTAGCCGCCCCTCCACCATAAGGCTAGTTTCCCTATCAAGCTATTCCACGCGTGAGTATGTCACTCAGGACAAACTTTCCAAAAATGGATGCTCGAATGAGACCACCGGCCGCTGAGTGGTTGGACGAACTCGGGACTTGTGTTCGGTCGCTCAACAAGGCGCCTTTGACATCCTATCACCGCATCGCAAAAGATAACATCAACTTGCATTCAGCAGCACTCATCTGCAACAGTTTCAGATTCAATCGCAAGTATCGACCGGGTTCCGGTCGGGAGATCCCATCCGCGGGGTACAGAGTTGGTCATGGCGCTGGACGATTCCCCGCACGCCACGCTGGCAAACGGCCTGGGATGACCTCCGTTGCGCCTCATCGTGTCGTTGCTGGACCGCCATCCGATAACTTGTACGTAATAACAGTTCGGCTTCGCCTGCGATCGGTGGTTGTTAGTCCTCTACATCTCGCTCTGCGCGGTGTGGTCAATGGCGGAAGCCATAGAAAAGGCTTTACTTGTGAATAATGAATGATTGATTGCCTTCAATACGATGGACTCAGTCAGGTGCAGACATATGGAACTCTCACATCCATCATTTCTTCATTCAAATCAAAGACTGATTGCTGGATATTATCTTGGGGGGGAAGTGATGCATGAGATGGAAGCAGACGGCGAACAGTTACAGTACTGTGCTCAGCGGTATGAAAGATCGAGCATCGTCAGCTTGCAGCAACTGTCAACTCGGCCTGCAGAATGGCTATTTAGAGATGAAGTTGTACGCTGCTTGAGAGTCATCAAGAGATGCGGTGCGGTTAACGACCCCGCGAACGTGATAAGATAAGATAAAGACAAGATGCATCGGAACTTGCGAGCCGACGTGAAGAACTGAACCTTGGTCGAATAGCCGGCTTAGATAAGCAAAAGCTTATCAGCGCAGCTACGTAATCAGACGAGCTCCAAAAGTCAATGGAACAGGGGTGAGCTCCTCATTCGGCTCCACGCTCTCACCATCATCCATGTCGTTGACCATTCAGAACGCCGAAGTCGCGACCGAACGGCGTTGATAGCGGCCCCTCCAGCGTTCCAAAGGTTCCCAGAGCTCTCTCTTTTCGCCGGCGATGCCTGCATTCTTGGTTTGAAACGCCGGCCGATTATCCAGCCGGCCCGTTTGGCACCTTCTGCTTCGGGCAAGGGACCATCGCATCCCTCGAGAGCTCGGCAGCAGTACGAAGAGTAGCAATTCGTACTTAGCCTGACTCGGACCCCAACTCTCCCACCTTCGCAACCTGAGCTCTTGATCCCAGCGCAGTCGACCAACAACAGCTCATGGTCGTCAACATGGATCCAGAGAAGAGCGGCCTTCCGCCTTACAGCGATGACCCGTCATTTACGGGCTCGCGGCGTTCGGCACCCCATCGCCATCACCACCACATGCGCTCGAAGCGATGGCTGCGGCCCAGCCGTAGCATGAAGCTTATCGTGCTGGCACTCGGCTTTATTGCATTCGCTCAATGGAAGCAACTCTCCTTCCTGCCTGCCAGCAAGCCATCCAGCAATCTCTCAGCTGCACGCCTGCAGCAAGATCTCGCGACGTGTGCCAAGCTCCGGCATAAGCCCCAGGACCCAATTGGCCTCGGTCGCGAGAAGAACGCACGATACGTCGACGGTCAAAAGCCTGCTCTCATCCGGAATGCCACCATCTGGGTGGGCGAGCCCGCCGAGGGAACTTCCCCCGAAGACGACCGCGCCGGCAAGGGCTACTCCTGGGTCACCGCCGATGTTCTCATTGACTACGGTCTGATCCAAAAGGTAGAGGCCGACATCTCGCTGGACTCCCTGCCCAAGGACACCCAGATCTGGGATGCCAAGGGTCGACAGCTGACCAGCGGCATTATCGACATGCACTCTCACGCCGGTGTTGGAGCTCTGCCCGAGCTCAATGGCAACCAGGACGTCAACGAAATGTCCAACGATATCACGCCATACGTGCGCTCCATCGATGGCCTCAACCCCCTCGACCCGCAGATCCAGGTCATCAAGTCTGGCGGCGTCACGACCTCGCTTGTCCTGCCTGGCTCTGGCAACAACATCGGCGGCGAGGCCTACGTTATTAAGCACGCCGTCGGCAAGCCTGACGGCCGCACCGAGTTTTCGGCGGAGGACATGCTGGCCGATCCCGACCGTAACTGGCGCTACATGAAGATGGCTTGCGGAGAGAATGCGAAGCGTGTCTATGGAAAGGTTGGCCACAGTCCCTTTTCTCGTCTTGGCGAGAGCTGGGAGTTCCGCCACGCCTTCGAGCAGGCCGCGAAGCTTGTTCGCGACCAGGACGACTGGTGTGACGCCGCTGAAAAGTTCGGCGTCGAGTCTCAGGGCTCTTATCTGCCTCAGGACCTGAAGTGGGAGAGTCTCAGCGCTGCGCTCCGCGGCCAGGTGCACATTAACACGCACTGTTACACGATTCCCGATTTGGAGGCGTTCGTTGACCACACGAACGAGTTCAAGTTTCCTGTGCGGGCTTTCCACCATGCCCACCAGACCTACCTTGTTCCCGAGGTATGCTCAAACTACTCATCATAGCTTCGCAGACATCACTAACGATCACCGTAGATCCTGAAGCGAACTTGGGGAGGCCGCGCGCCTGCCTCGGCGCTATTTGCCGACAACATGTACTACAAGTCCGAGTCCTATGTTGCTTCTGAGTATGCTGGCAAGATCCTCTGGGAGAACGGCCTCACCCCTGTCTACGTCAGTGATAACCCGGTTTTGAACGCCCAGCACGTTCTCTTCGAGGCCGCAAAGGCCTATAAGTACGGTCTGCCTTACCATGCAGCCCTGGCTAGTGTGACGTCTGCCCCCGCCGAGCTCCTGGGTCTAGGCCAGAGAATCGGCAAGATCAAGCCCGGTTTTGACGCAGACATTGCTGCGTGGGACAGTGACCCTCTCAGCGTTGGAGCCGCCCCCGTGCAGGTCTGGATCGACGGAGCATCGCAGTTCTCTGATCCTTTCGAGCTCGACAAGCCTCTCACCGGCCCCATCTCCCCCGACCCGGAGCTGGCAAAGATCGCGGAGGACACTGCCGACCTCAAGGATGTGATTTTCACTGGAGTTGCCAATGTCTGGCTTTCCGGCGAGGAGAAGACTTACAGCGATGAGTCGGTCAATGTCGTCGTCTCCAACGGCGCCATCAAGTGCATTGGTGCTTGTGCCGAAGAGGTCGCAGCTGCCAAGTCATCGTCGCAGAAGATAGTTGAGTTGAAGAATGGCTATGTCACTGAGTCTTTCACCGCCTTCGGCTCCAGCATCGGCCTGAACGAGATCGACGGTGAAAGGGATACGGACAATGGCAACAGCCCCGGTTTCAGTCGCGGCCTCGACGGGCTTGTGCTGGACAACAAGAAGCTCCATGTCGCACTCCGATACGGCGTAACCAAGGCCATCTCCGCCCCGAAGTTCGCCGGTCAGGCGACCCACTCCGGAACGAGTGTTGGATTCAACACGGGTGCTCTGCATGCCCTCGAGAAGGGCGCTGTCTGGACCGAGGATGTCGCACTCCATCGCACTCTGACACTCGACGCCAAGAGGGGCGAGATCCCTTCCATCTCTGGCGCGATCGGCGCACTTCGTCACACTCTGTTGGAAGCAGTGGCCTCCAACGATACCGGCTCAGACCCGTTCTCAGAGGCCGTCTACCTCAAGAAGGTCGTCAACGGAGAGCTGCCCTTGGTCCTGACGATCCACAGCGCCGACGCCATCGTTGCGGCGCTGAGGGTCAAGTCCGCGGTCGAGGAGGCCCTGGCAGCCAAGAGCCAGACCTCAGCGTCGCCGAAGCTCAAGGTCGCGATCATCGGCGGCGCGGAGTCGCATTTGGTCGCCTCCGAACTGGCCGAGGCCGGTGTGGGTGTCGTTCTGTCGCCGTTCCAGTCCTACTCGACCACTTGGGACCAGAGGCGCTCTCTCACCGGTGCGCCTCTCACCAACGGCACTGCGATTGACACCCTGCTCGATGCAGGTGTCGTGGCTGCGATCGGGCTGGAGGAGGATTGGCTCATTCGCGACCTGGGCTTGCTGGCGGGCATCGCGTACAAGAACGGAGGCAGCCGGCTCAGCCAGAAGAAGGCGCTGGACTTGGTTTCCAGCAACGTCTACAAGATTCTGGGCATCGAGGAGCCGCAGGCGAGGGAGTCTCGCCACTTTGTCGTGTACGAGGGTAGCCCGTTGGAGATTGAGGGAAGAGTTCGGGCGGTTGGTAGCGGCCGTGACACCGTGTCGGTTTTCGTGTAAGCGGATATTAGTAGCCATGCATCTTAGTGTAGACGGAGGCGACCGACGGGATGGACGTAATGTCAGTGACCCCACACGGGCGAGAGTCTGCCGCCGAGATTCCGGCGCTCGGAAGTGGGTTTCCGCGCGCGCGTGTTGCGCTCGGAACGCCCTCTTTCGCATGCATGACAAGTAGCCGCATTTACGAAATAGTAGCTACACGAATTGGACAGATATGCGACCAGACGAGACGGTCCGTGATAAGTCAGCCCCATTTGCCGCAAGTGGTACCGGGCCGGGGCCTCACTCAGACACTCTCACTCATCGTCGTCCCGCATTACTACTTAGTAGTCCCGCGCGGGTATTACCAATCTGATCCCGGCCACAAATGACTCCGGTGTGTCAAGAAGCGACCAATCAGAGAGAGCCGATGCCACGCCAGCTGAACAGTTGCGGCTGCTACTTGAAGTTGCAGACATCCCTCTCTCGGCGCAGTTGCAAGATACCCAATAAAATCAGACAAAGTTCGAATGACACAGCCTTTGCCAATTCGCCTTATAAGATCCCTACGATATCCCAGGTTTGCCTCGGCATCATCTATCCCTAAGTCAGCAAAGAAGTTCACAACATCAACACACACAATGACACGCGCAGCAGTGGTTTGCGTCTCACACGGTGGAGGTATGCAGACCCTCTGCGGCCCTGTAGTATCTGTCGCTGACCATCTCACCAGGCCCTATGCCCATTCTTGGGGACCCCGGACACGCCTCAGTCACTGCATCACTCAAGAACCGCGTGCCCAAGATCTTCAAGCTCAACACCCCTGACGCCCCCAAAGCAATTCTTGTTGTTACTGCACACTGGTCTGAAAGCAGGCCGACCATCTCATCGGCCGTCAGTCACGGCCTGTACTACGACTATGGCGGTTTCCCCAGGGAAGCCTACTCGCTCAAGTACCCCGCCCCCGGGTCACCAGAGATCGCCCAGGAGGTGAAGCAGGCGTTTGAAAAGGAGGGTCTCTCACCAGAATTCGACTCACGACGTGGTATGTGACATCGTGCTTATGTACTTTGATCGGGTTATAGAAGGCTAACAGCACCAGGTTGGGATCACGGCGTGTTCGTCCCCATGCTCCTCGTCAACCCCGCCGCCAACGTTCCCGTCATCCAGCTCTCCGTCCTCGAATCAGAGGACCCCGAAGAGCACTTCAAGATGGGACGCGCTCTCTCCGCGCTAAGAGACTCCAACATTGCCATCCTGGGCTCCGGCTTCGCCTCCATTCACAACCTCTACAAGATGCGGTCCCTCTTCATGGGAGACCCCAGCGGGGTTGCCAAACTAAGAAAGCAGGTCAGCGAGTTCGACAAGGAGCTCACGAGCGCCGTCCTCCAGGATAAGAGGGAGGACAGGACAAAAGCCCTGTCGGGCTGGCGCAAGTTCAACCACAGCTACGACATGCACCCGCGCGGCGGCGCCGAACACTTCCTGCCGCTACTGGTATGCGCCGCGGCCGCCGAGGACGAGGTTGCCGGGGTGTACGAGGACGAGTGGATGGGAGTCGACATCAAGACGTATTACTGGGGAGATGTACGTGTCTGATTAAACCTTTACTAGCCTAATATGTCTTTGATTCTATATGCTTGATTCCCGAAAGCGCCAGTTACCCCCGTCCGCGAGTTGTTTTACAAGCGGATTACAGTACAAGTTTTGTTGAAAAAAAAGGAAAGAGAGTGAAAGAGAGCGTCATCCTTGCGTTCCCCATCTAGTCTCATAATACATCGATTCATATTCATTGCATCATTCATCCCTTAGTGTCCGAACCGAGAACACCGACGCCGAATGCTGATGAGAGAGAGAGAGAGACAGAGAGAGAGAAAATATAGTCCAAACCGTATCAGTCGTCCATCGTTGTCAAATTACATCCTTCGCAACCTGTTTTTTAAAAAACGGAAAAACTCAAAAGGGGTAAAACACTTGCTTAGCGAGAGCTTGGGGTGAGGAAGGGGCTGGGGGTTCATATAGTCATTGATGACCGCAGAGTATCCCCATCGCGTCGGCGACTGGGTTCGAGTCCTTCTTCTCCACGACCCAGCCGGTCTGCACGTACCTGTGAAGCCAGCTGACCTCGCGTCCTCGGTGGCCGTCACAGTCACGGCATCCCTTCCGCGCCAGCTCAAGACCGATTACGCCGCCGTCCAGCAGACCATTCTTCCCGCCAACGGTGGCCCCGAGAGCGGTCCAGCTGAGGCGCCGGTTGTCCTTCCGCGTCCGCTTCGTCTGTGCATGATTAGCCATGGCAGCGAGCTCACGTCGCTCGGCGATATCGCGGTCGATGACCATGACGTAGTCAAGCAGACTGCTGGGCGCGGACGGCGACGACGGGTCCGGGAAGAGGGCGGAGAGATAGTCGGTCAGCAGCATGACGGGGCGCTGGTCGGGCACCCAGTGGCCCGAGGGCTGGGGGATCTGGTTGTGGATGATGTAGACGCCGCCGCAGAAGCGGCCGTCGAACTTCTTGTTGACGGCGCGAAGGACGCCCATCTGCGCGAAGGGGTCGTTGGCGTAGGCGAAGTGCTCAATGTGCGGGCCGCGCTCGTCGATGACGGCCTCCTCGAAGCGCGACTTGCGGCTGTCGCCGAGGGGCACGACGAACTCCGAGGCGGCGGCGCCGAAGGTGTAGATCTCGAGCTTGTTGAGCTTCTCGGGCTGGATGTCGGCGCAGAGGCGGGCGAGGACGAGGGCGGCGGGGAGGGTGCCGTTGTTGTGGGCGAGGACGGCGACTCGGGTGACGGCGGCGTCGAGGAGGGCGGTGCGCAGTTCGGAGTAGAGCGCTCGCGAGGCTTGGGTCTGGAAGGGGAAGCAGCGTTGGATGGCGAGGAGGAGCATGTCGAAGGGGAGGCCGTATGTGGCCATCTGGATGCCGCTGAAGGACTTGCCAAAGAGGCGGGCCAGGCGGGGGAGAGTGCATTGTGAAAGATGTGTAGAGCTGGATTGTGGTGTTAGTGTTATTGTAGTGATGCAAAAGGACCAACACGCAAAACTCACCTTGTTCCCATGCCGCCGATGAAGATCCATTTCTCCTCGTCTTCCTCTGCTTCTGATGTGCTGTTGCCGAACTCGTCGCAGTTGACAATGATGTTGCTCCCGTTCATCAGCCAGCTGAGCGCCAAAACCAAGCTCATGGACAACGCCAGCCATGCCGCGAAGAGAATCCCCGGAAGAATCATAAACATCGGTACGGCGAGCGTGATCATTCCCACTTCAACAATGGCCAAGCTGAGCTGAACGATAATGTCCTTCAAATGGCTTCGAGACAGGTGTGCGCGGTGGTTGGCGACGTGTGTCCTCAGCGATGTCATCAGCCCCGGCAGCATCTTCCACATTTCCCTCAGATCATCCTGGAGCAACGCAAACGGCTGCTTCTGTGCCAGTGGGACTGTTCCACAAGCTCCGTCGATCAATGGCGGGATGTAAGTCACGGACGGGCCATAGTTCTTGATCGGACCACACAAGCTTGATCTCGGTGACGTCCTCGGTGAGCTTCTTGCTGAGTTTGATAGACGGGGTGATGAGGCTGGTGAGTTGTAAGAGGGTGATCTTGATAGCCAAGGCATGCTGGGCGAGGCTGTTGGTGATCGTTTCGAAGCGATGAAAGGCATCGCGGACTGGTGTTGTGGGGGAAGAGCTCCCGGAGGAGTAGGCAAACGGTTTCGGTGTTTGGATTAAAGATGTAAAGCTTTGCAGAGCAGCTTATCTGACGGCAAAGGAATTCTTCTGATGGAGAGCTGATATGATCAACAAGCAAGCCCGAGAATGGAATCTAGGAATCGAATAATAGCAACCAGGGAGGGGTTCAGCAAAAGTGGAGGATATTCACACGCTTCGTGAGGATCTCACATGCACTTTTAACCTCTATTGCGTTTGTTTTGTTGATGTCTCGTCGTCCACGGTCTCCCTTATCATTCTTCGCCGCTCGGGCAATCTTGTTGCAGACGACGGCGCGCAGCGCTTGCGTGGTGGCGCATTCCTCGGCCAAATTCGCCCCGTGCCTTGACCATCTTAGGTTCTTAGGTGCCGCCTATTGGGACAAGTAGTGGGAAGGTGAGAAAATGGTTTGGGAAGTTTGTTTGGAAATTTTCTTTGGCTTGTTTACTCCCGAAAAGCCCGTTGCCATGATGGATACAGCTCCGATGATCATGATGTTGAAGCAGGAACTTTTCCAACTGTCGATTTCTCTTTTTTTTCACACGAGAGACAATGGGACTGGAAAAATGATGTCTCACACCCTGGAACCCTACGAATAGGAGAGAGCTGAAGTCTGTAGCCTACCCGCACAAGCCGGCCCAGTCTTACCGTGCCTTGCATCCAGCAACGACCCTGCAGCAAACACGAACCATTGACTCTTGCCTCCCCATTCACCTTGGAAGAGGGGGGAAGAAAGACCGGATGGCATTGGGGCATTGGTCGCCCCGGCTGCACGGGTTCCAGAGCCGGGTCGATCCCGCTGCGGCTAAATGGCACTCTCGCAGCTTGGGAATCTTGGTATGGGTCCCCGAGCAACAGCCCTAAGAGAATGGATGCACAGATGGGCAGAACCCCGTCTTCTCTCGTCCCTCTTCCTCGGATTGGGTTCAGGGTTCTCTTTCTGGTGGGCCGCAGGAGAGGGTAGTGAGAACGCACACCCAGGAGCTAGGACAGCAGCTGGAGTTGCTAGACTGCTTGCTGGGGTGCTAGAACGGCACTAGACCAGACGGTATTTTCGTCCAAAGTTTGGCTCTGGGGTGAGGGAGGGGAAGAGGAGGAAGAAGGCCTCTGCTTTGCATGTGAAGCTCTGACGTTGCCTTTGTCTGTGCTTGCTGCAGTGGCTCCTGCATGGGAGCACGTCCTTCGCGCGTAAGCAACAAAGTCCGATCTCTTCTCTCCCTTGGGGGCCGTGGATCTTTCTTGTGGTCCCAGCGAAGCACGTTTTCTCATGGCAAACTCGGGAAAACCTGGGAACACGAAGGACTCTCTTACACGCTAGGCGGATGTGTCGAAGACAAGCCTGGATCGGAATGCGAGACCTGCGACGGCACGACGGGTCTACGGGATGCTTTTTTTCGACCAGCATCTGCGGGTTAGGAATGCGAAGCTAACTCTAAACTTCTGCGACACAAACATTGCGCAGCCGACAATCAGTGCAGAATCCGAGGAAACATATTGCCAACATTCCACAGCTTATCTCGACATCAACCACCAGTCTCTCGCTCGGCAGGTTCCATTTCGGTTTGAAGGAGACCTCCGGAGGCTCAAGGTTTCGCCTAGAATTCGAGCATCGCTGTGGCCTTGATTCTAGCTTGGTTCCGCATCCTGCGCACCCCTCCAACTTCAAACATGAGGCGTTCTTTGGCTTCTCTACGACGAGCTCGCGTTCGCGTCCCAGAGAAGAGCTCCGGTGGCGAGGCACGGACTGCACGTGGTGGAGGCTTGAAATGGACAGACCGTTATCCGTTCCCTGAACTGATGGACGTGAAACTTTTTCGTAAGCGGCTGTTGTGTGCTACCATTCTGCCGCACTTTAGTCCAGAGGAGGCTCGTTTATGGTGAGGGCGAGTGTACAGCGTGTGAGCGTGTATCAGCCTGCGCCGCATGGTCTGGGCGAGAGATGCGAGCTACGAGGTGATCTGCAGAGGACGGACAGCTTGGAGAGCTTCCTCTTCCGCCACACCCAGCCCTGCGAAATAGTATGGCAGTGGCGAGGGAAACAATTCAACAAGCAGACGCCACCGAAAGCCACAGCCCGCAACGGCCGCTTCCCATTGTCTAGATCTCGTGGCGCATTTGGAGGGGAATGGTGATCTAGGCAACGACACCATTGCGGGGTTCTTTGCCCCTGATAGACCCGGAAACGCATATGAGGAGCTCCGTAGGGCTTAAAACGGTTTGCTCTTAGCCGAGGGACCGCAAGAGACTATGGTTTGTCTAACATCAGCGGTTAATGAACTTGTTAAGCCACGATGGTGACGTGAACTAAATCAGGGAATGAAAGTCGGGACTTTTGGCTAGACTTCGGAAACCAGGACAACGTTATCAGTGGATGCAGATTTAGTATTCATAGAGGCCAAGAGAGACGCTGGTAGATCCCAGGAGTAAACTCCAACAAAGAGGAGATGGACTACTAAACGCGAATCGAGTCCGTTTGTTGAGCGACTTGTCTAGTCATATGCAGTAAGTCTTTTTATGAAACACAGCGTTAAAGGGCCATTTGTCATAATACAATATCTCCATGTGAAGTTGAACAAATCATTTTTCCATTCAACGTTGATAACAGCGATCATTCTGGAAAATAACTATGTCTCAGGTGAATTCAGATCTGGCAACAGTTCCTTGAACTTTGTGTCTTTCTTTTATTTTTAAGTAACCTTCAATGAGGATCTCAAGGCAATCTTCTTGGAGCCTCTTCATATTGGCTTCAGGCATCATTCACTTGCCACTCCCCCCGAAATCTGAGTATCATCGTCGCATCTAACACGTATGTCTTGACATTTCATGGTTGATCTTACATTTAAAGTACTCTTTTGGAGTTTTCAAGAAGGAGACCCAGATTGGGCAACTCTATAAGACCAAGGCATCCTTGCTCGGCCATCATCTCGTATTTCCCAACAATCCTAGTGAATCTGAGGCATCAGATACAAAAGTTCCGATCGCTGCTCTCCTATCTCAACCTCGGATATCCCGAATCACGACTTTGTGAAATGCGACCGCGCATTAGATAACCAACGGCCATTCGCCGGATAAGGGTCTAGACCGGACGTCACGTCAGTTTGGGGGCCGGTTAGTCCCGAACCAAAGATCAATGACGGAACACTCGCAGTTCAAGCCAAGAAGTTTGGCCCGCTACAAAAGCTCCGGCAGATCGTCATGTCATTTCTTACGATCCTATCACAACCCGATGCGCGCCTACACAACGTCCTTTTTAGCCTGAGTCTGACAGTCCCGCCGTGCATCAATCACCGGCCACCGCGACAGCACCCCACGTGGTGCAAGTGAGACACAGCCAACCATGTGACGATCCCCGTACACCGGATTGTGTGTTCTTGCATGATTTTTCCGTCCGCAATTGGATTTCCTCACATGCAGGATGCGACCACATTTTGCTTTGGGGCCAGTTGCGGGAGCTAAATGACATGATGATACATCTCACCCGCATGGTCCCCCCATCCATGACATCAACGACTCTGAAAGCGCCGGTTCGTCCCATGTGAGCCGCCTCACAACGCCTCAGCCGAGAAAGAATAACCTACGTTGCGCTTATGAGAACATGCTTCCATTTCGCATATCACCTTGATGTACCCGTCGTCGCAAATTTTCTTCCCCTTCTTGCACTCGAAATCACATTTTGTGCAATGATAGACGCGATGCCTGCGACCGACACAACAAAGCTGCCGCTCGAAGGCGGTCCAGCATACGGTCTGGGTGAGGTCGACAGACAGGGCGCAGCGAGCCCCATGCTCCGCGGCCTCGATGGCTTGTCGCTCTACGAGAAAAAATGCGTGCTGATCAATCGCGAGATCGACTCGCAGGGCATGGGTAAATATCAGTGGTACATCTGGGGTCTCTGCGGCTTCGGATACATGCTTGATTTGCTATGGGCGCAGGCATTCGGATTGGTCCTGAAGCCTTTGCAACAAGAGATGGGTTTCGGGGACGGTCAGTCTGGGAACATTGCGACGAGCTTCAACGCTGGGTTGACTGCCGGCGCATTCGTTTGGGGATTCTTGGCGGATATCATCGGTATGACGATCTCGGCACATTCCTAACTCGAAAGGTCCTTGATCTGGAGATTGCCCGGGAACCTTCATGTGACAGTTGAACTTACCTCTGCCAGGTCGCACATGGGCCTTCAACTTGACCTGCCTCATCGCATCGATATTTGGGCTCTGCCTGGGCGCGTCTAACAACTACAACACGTTTCTCGTATTGACGGCTTTCGTCGGTGTAGGGGTGGGAGGCAACATTCCAATCGACACTACCATCACTCTAGAGTTCATTCCCCAGGTTGGCCAACTCACCAAAAGATCGAGTATTTACGGTCCTCTGACACACTGATCAGAACAGGCGCTTTTTGCTGGCTTGTCTGTCCATATTTCAACCGATCGGTGTGATTGTCTGCAGCGCCGTCGCTTTCGGCTTCATCCCCGTATTCTCATGCTCTCCCAACTTTTCCCAGATCGACGAAGGACCGCTCCTGTCATGCAACAACGTCGCGCCCGGAACAAAGTGCTGCGCGCGGGTCGATAACATGGGCTGGCGATATCTCCTCTTCACACTAGGCGGCATCACGCTTTTCGTATTCGTCCTCCGATTCTTCGTCTTCAAGTTTCAAGAAACGCCAAAGTATCTAATCTATCGTGGTCACGACGCCAGAGCGATCCAGACCTTGGAGTACATGGCTCACGTCAACGGAAAGCGTTGCAGCCTGACGTTAGAGATGTTCCATTCCTTAGAGTCAGATGAGAACGACGGTTTTGTTGGGAGCACTTCATCTGCACTGGGCGGTGGTGCGAAGCAGACGGAGAAGAAGTGGCCTGAAAAGGTGAAGCTTGAGCTTGGCCGATACAAGATGTTGTTTGACGGATTTCCCATGATCCGGCTGACCGTCTTGGTCTGGCTGACGTACATCATGGACTTTTGGGGGTTCACTGTAGCTGGTAAGCACATGTTGAAATTTGCGGTAAAAGTCGAGACTAATTCCATCCTGCAGGACATTACTTGCCCAGCATTCTGGCTTTGAAGAACGGCAGAGATCACGTCAGTCTATCGGCCACATACGCTGCGTACATTTACACGTACGCCCCAGGAATCGTTGGGGTCCTGCTTGGTGCTTTGATGTACCATGTCCCGGCCATCGGGAGAAAGTGGACAATGGTGATCTCATCCGCTTTGATGGGCATTTCGATCATTTTATTCTCAACTGTCGATACACGCGCCAAGAACGAAGGTCTCTTTGCAATGGAATACTTCTTCCAGTCCATGTTCAACGCCGTTCTCTACGGTTGGACCCCCGAAGCGTTCCCGGCCCCAGTCCGTGGCACGGCCTGCGGTGTTGCGGGGTTCTGGGGCCGACTGTTTGGTATTGTAAGTCCGCTCATTGCACAGCACCTTTACGGGCAGCCCGGCGAAAACGGCGAAAACGGAAACATCAACGGCGTTTTGTATCTGGCCGGCGGTGTTATGCTAGGCTGTGTCATCAGCACGGCGTTGCTGCCGAATGAGATGATGGAGACTAAGGATGAGCGTTCTTTTGCTGGAGAGTCCAGTTGGGCTGAATCGCAGATCGAGAGCCAGGGGAAAAACCAGACCTACCAAGATGACCCTAGGTGACGGTTATTGGGATTTGTATAGATTTCTACTGAATAATAGCCCAACGTTTCTGCGCTTCAATGACTCGTGCTACAAATGGAAATACGCCGTACGGACATAGGCCTTTAGGCTTTTCTGCCCACTGACATCGTGTATGCCGTCCGTAGTGGGAGATCTACGAAAGCTTTGACATTGTTGCGAAAACGATCTTGCCAAGACAATTTATTGCACGCACAATATGATCCACTGCCACGATTAATATGTGCTGTATCTTGACTCAATATCTAGCCAAGTGGAGCGTATTGCGACATCCACGCGGCCCACGGTAGTGCAAGACCGGCATCAAACTGCGACGGCAATTGTCGACTTAATATAAGACGACCAATTAGCTCATTACCGTTTGGGGGCATCATTCGGCGAAAGACCGATGGAAACATCCAACCGACGGCGGACTGCTCCGACCAACAGATGCGAAAGCCTCGCTTCGTGAAAAAGGAGTAAGTCATATGCATTCCTTTGCCAAGACATCTTGGTCATATTTGCCTTGCTACTAAAGCACAGTCGTTGTTATGCAAACATCACATACATTTCGAACAATCACATTTGGGATCACGATTGGAGCGCTTAAATCATGGTATATGCAGGCTTAATGCTATACAAGGTACTATGTACAGGAATGCAGAATTTTGAGACCGAGTTCAAAAGTGAACTCGAGACTCGGATACCGTGCACCGGGCAGGACGCAGTAAGCCTGGATTGCACATCTGGTGTCTGGTGTAAAAGTGAAACTCCTTCCCACAGCTCATTTGAGACCCAAAGGTGCTCAGAGAACTGCTTACTCTAATTACTCTCAACAACTCCTCCCATCTCTCCCCTCATCAGCGTCAAGCGCTTAGTGAGCAGAGCGGCGAGCCTTGCGGGCAGCGCGGCGGCGCTTGCAGCCAGCAGAAGGGGCCTTGGAGGGGGTGGCAGCGGGAGCAGAGGTAGCGGCCGGGGCAGAGGTGGCGGGGGCAGCAGAGCTGACCTGGGTAGCCAGGGTGGTGGGGGCAGCAGCAGCAGAGGTGGCAGCGGCCTTGGAGGTGGCAGCGGGAGCAGCGCTGGTGGCGGGGGTAGAGCCGGAGCCGGAGCCGGCGCCGCCGGTCCAGACCTCAGGGCCGGGGGCCTTGTAGCTGGAGGCGTCGTCGTTGTAGAGGTTGAAGTGGATGCCGCTGTCGGTGTACTTGTAGCCGGTCTGGAAGTCGAAGTTCTCGGGGGGAACGTCGGAGCCGGATCCAGAGACCTCGATCTGGACGCAAGAGGGGTAGAACTGGGCACCACGGGCCGAGTTGGTGTCGTAGGTGGTGTCGGACTCGTGGAGAGCGATGATCTCGTGGCGGAGGAGGTACTTGCCGGGCTTCAGGGAGGCGGGGATGGTGACCTCGCCGGACTTGCCCTTGTTGGCGATGAGGGTGTCGACGGGCCACTTGCCGTTGGCGTACTTCTCCTCGGCGATCTTGGTCCAGATGGCGCCAGTGCCGTCACCCTCGGTGTACTCGGCAATGTAGGTGTTGAGGGGACCCTTGTGGGAGCCGTCGATGATGTCGTCGCCGCGGGTGTTGTGGTACCACTCGAAGACGACGGACTTGCCAGCCTCGACGGGGGCGAAGCCGGTCTTGGCGGAGGGGTCGGCGTTGCAGACAATGTCCTTGGAGGTGATGTCCTTGACGGGGTTGTTGTTGGGGGGGCTGCGGATGAAGGACTCGAGGCCGGACTTGCCGTCGACCTGGATCTCGGCGCCGTCGGACCAGAGGGCGTAGACACGGGCGTGGGCGGCAGCCTGGCCGGTGAGGGCAGCAAGAGCAGCGGCGGTGTAAGAGAAGCGCATCTTGACGGTTGTTTTGGTTTCTTGACGAAAGTCTCAAAAAAGGTGTAAAGTCGGAGTGAAGAAGTGAAAGTTGATTTGCGAGGTTGTGCTTAGTGAGCGTGGTTGAACGTCTAGTTCGAAATGAGTGTATGGCACAGCCAACAAGAGAGAGACCTGAGTACAAGGAATGAGAGAATGACACCAGTTGTGATGATGGAGAAAAGAGAGAGACGAGAAAGAGAGCGTGCGTGGGATGGAAGACTTTTATAACGCGTTGATGAAGTTGTGTGTGTAAGTCAACGGATCCCCTTTCCCTTCTGGGCTACATCTCCTACGTCCATAGCCCATCTCTACCGTCCCTCCCCCTCTTGCATCTCAATCTCGAATCATCCAAGCCCATCTCCGGTGGCAGACCCATCTCACCGCACTAAGTCGACATAGGCAACCAATGTGTAGGGGCACATCTGGACCCCCTCCCCATCGCGCGGCTAGAGCTGGCGATTCCGTCAGTGCCCAGACTTGCCAGGGCCCCTGACTCCCTGAGGGTCGAACAGCACATCCAGCGCCTCCAGTTCACAGTAAAGTGCAATGTGGACTCGTGGAGGGTATGGGGACGCCCTAGAGAGGAAGGGCGCCAGCGCTGTGATGGAGACAGTCGTCTCATCCGCTTCCCCTGCCAAGGCTGCAGGAAAGCTGCAGGACGCTCTGAAGGAGATGAGGCTGATGGAGCCATCTGGTGGGCTAACCAGTCTTTGGCGTCTGTCAGATCCTTGCTAGTCGGCGGCAGCCGAGGGTAGGGCGTGGTTGATTTCATTAATGAAGCCGTTGCGATTAAAGTGAGGGTGCGGATATGAAACGAACAAACAGGGTGATGGTGGATCGCGCCGTGGCCCCCTGCAGCGGCGCGGCTAACCCAAACAACCTTCTTGGGCCATGGGTTTCCCGGGGTTTGTACGTGTGGGAGCCGAATGGACGACTCAAAGTTGGGACGAAGATTGAAAACCCTGGTTATTGACAGCAGGGATAGACCCCCGGGTGAATCCCGAATAGCTCGCTTGAGAGAAACATGTTGGAACAAGATGAAGTGCGCCCGTTCCTCTGGTTGGCTGCCAACACTTGAATGGCTTGTCAAGGAGGGGGAAAGTAGAGTAAAAGGAAGCAGATAATCGCCCAGTTTCAGGTCGTTCATGCAAGACGCAACGCTAACATTGTGGTCATCATCAGTCAGCCAGATAGATAGATCACAGCCTTGGCCCTGGAGTTCGGTACTGGACTGACAGGCTTGGAACTCCAAATGTCTATCTTTATCACAGACTCGTGGTCTCAGAAGTCTCAACCTGTAAAACAACGCTCACTTGAGCGTATCATTGATATGTAGGGTCGCGTTTCGCCCTTCAGTTGCGGTGTTCACCATCTTTTTACTTTACTCCAATCGTATGCGTTCCGCGATGGAGGCCAGCAGGAAGGCCGCCGCCAGCAGGGGAGGGGTGAAAAAGGGGAACGCAGCAAAATGAGGACGAAATTGAGCAACGGGAAGTGCGTCGGGGCCGGACGCATTGTCCGGGTGCGAGCGGGCGAATGAGCCTCTGGGCCTCTTGTTGATCTGAGCCGACAATATTGAACTGTGAAGATGTCGATGAGATTGATGAAGTTCCCATTTGTGTTACTTTACGCATGCTTAGTTGTCAGGCCGCATCGACTATGGTTCATTCCATGTGAGCCGTTTAAAGATGGTAGAACCCTGATGGGAGATGGAGACGACGGTCAACATGGACGACTCGATGGCCATCTTGGTACCCGTTGCAATAACACGATATTGGGGCGGTGTCGTTCCACGATCGCATGTCGCATGATCTTCATCTTGGTTGCATCCAGGTTGCACCCATTGCCAAAATTGCCCTAGATTGACAAGTCCACCCGAATGGTGCGGCGAAGTGTCTGGCAGCCCGCCCCAACTGTCGTCGGTACCGCACAAGCTGAACACCAAGAGGCGGCACGGTAGTAATTGTGTGTTTGTCTGCGACGAAGGCTGGGCGTTGGTCAGGTCTGAGTGCTGACCGCCCCCCCAGAGGGCCGTCGAAGGAACCGAGGCGACCTGATCCTTCGCCCCCTTCCGAGGAGGATTGCAAGCGAAGAGACTAGCGTACGAAATACGGATACGTAGCTGCGGCACAGCCTGTGGGGGGCGCGTGAAGGGCAGAAGTTCTTCTAAATTTGACGCCAGAAAAGGGGAGAGAATGTCGAAGAAGGGGGCCAGGCTTTAGCAAGCACTTGCTCGCTAACACGGTGGGCCAGAGAGTAAAAACCAACTTGGCTTCGGGGCGACGGGGGCGGCATAGAAAGGCCTCATTTCGCAAGAACCTGGCAGATCCATCATCCGTCGATCCGATGGTGTAAATGCTTGCTAAGACGGGCAGAACAAGCGTGCAATCTCTGCTCCGCGCCCACCGCTCACAGCCCGCTTTATGTCCGCTGCGGCGGTGAGAGTGCGGATAGGATGCAATTGTTGGAAGTTGGACGTGAATTGTGACGGTGGCTGCTGCTGAGATTTTGCCTCTCCTATCCTATCCCGGCGGACCGGGTTGGCGAGCCTGGAGCCCGTGGTTTCCGACTGCTGACGAATACGAGTGCTACTGGGTAAGGCTTCGGGGGCCAGGCGTGGTCTCGTTGCTGTGATGTTAAGCGCTGGCAACTTGTAAACGCTCTATTTCCTGCAGGTCCGAATGCAAGTGAGTTGCAAGTGAGTTTGAATGTCGTGGGTGATTGAGTGACGATCTCTTGTCGTCAAGAGCCAACACCAGCGGGAGGGTTTGCGTCTAAGACACTGGGGGTTGTCAGCAAATGACAGCAGCTCTTGAATCGTAATTGTGCCAGATTAGCGATGATTGGGCCTCTGAAAAAGAAGACGGTGTCTCTCCCATACAGATGCTCTCCACTGTTCGGACCTTGGCACCGACTTGCCGATGCCAAGCACGCGTGGTGTGTATGGGGGCATGTACAGAAGTGAAATGAGTGGTTTTTGTACAGAGTAATCAAACATGGAAGACAGGACGTCAAAAGAGAGTTGGATGGCGTTCGTTTAAACACCATGCAAAAGAGAGGATCTGACATCGATATCCCCTTTTTACCTTAAATGTAGAGTTAAGACAGATGGAAACTTTATTGAGGACAAACTCTGAATTTGTCGGCAAAATCGGCCAGGACGGCACCTTTATCCGCTTCTCCTCGGACTGGAGGGAACCTGGGAGTTGGTCGGCTGCAGTTGTCCGTTGTCGAGTTTGGGGGGAACCTGTAGCGTGCGTGCGCTGTAACCGTAGCGAGCATCCGTCAATCATAGCGGCGGATCTTAAGGAGGCTTGTGTCCACAGCTACTCGCTGCCCTGTGCTGTGCTGTGCTGTGCAGCCTGTTGGGGTTCGCTCGCTTGGCCGTGCGGGGAACTTTTCCTTCCTCTGCTGAAAAAGCTCCTATCTTATCAGTGAACGTCTTATCTTATCATAATACAGGCCCGTGCTCAATCGTTACGTCGTCGCATCGCAACAGCATCAACTTTTGCCGCCGCAGTTCAAGCCGCGATCGCAAGAGCGTAGCAACGACCACCGACGTGCTGTGACTCACTCCTCCGACCCGATTTGACTGAATCTACGGCGTCTCTTGCGACCCAGAGCGAACCGACTGTGACAATGTCGTCCTCAGATGACACATCAAAGGCCGTCGTCGAAAAGGTCGACGAGGGTTTCAAGGAGAGCAGCCGCAAGTTCGATGCGTAAGACTGTTGCACAATCCATGCTCCAATGCAAGCTGGCTAACTCTGGCGGGATAGCAAGGATAAGAGCGAATACTTCGATCCATGCCAGGAGTTTGCCCAGAAGAGCATCAGGTGCTTGCACCGCAACGGGGGCGACCGCTCCATGTGCGGCGACTACTTCCAGTACGGCCTTCTCTGATCCCCGCTCTGCGTTGACTACAGTGATCCAATATGCTGACATTCCTTCTCAGAGCGTATAGGGATTGCAAAAAAGCCTGGGTTTGTGCTATCCAACCGCCTTTCCCGTCAACCGAGACCGAGACTGACAGGACAAAAGTTCGAGAAGAAGAAGGAAGAACGCAAGAAGAACGGAGCATGGTGGTGATTATAAACATGATTGATTATATCCGGGTACCCCTTGAAATTGTTAAGGGTGTTGCTCTGCGATGGCGGCCATCCCCCGCTCAAGACCTGGCAGGCACGGGATATTGTACACTATGTAACAAATATGCATGCATGGGACGGAGTCATGATGATGTACGAGTAATATGGTCACGCGGAACAAAATTCAACTCCCAAGTGTCAAAGGACGGCCTGGGTCTCGTGGTTGCGCGGCCATCAGAAGACCCGAAAGGTGGCGCATCGGGATCGGGACCAGCCCGCCAGGACAGTTCCCCGGACCCGGACGCGGACACGCGGCGGGCATCCGGCCTCCCCGTCTGGGACCGCAGAGGTGTTCGGCTTAATATTCACCCGAAGGACCAATCACACCCTGCATCCCACATCCCTTAGCTTCCGCTGCACCTTCTGTGCACAGTGCCCCTCCAAAGCCAATTCTGCCCCGCCATCCGATCAGAAGCATCACCATGTCCTGGAATCGGCCTCAGCTGAAGAGCGGCGTCGATCTGCAGCTGCAGACCGCCTTCAACGACGGACAATGGGCCAACGTCATTCGTCTCGCCGAGAAGCGATTCCGGACCTTCAACGACCCCTACTATGAGGTTTGACCCTCTCACACTCACCCAGCGCATGGGTCTGGAAACCGCAGCTGAACACCAACGCAGGTCGTGAAAATCGTCGCAGAGAGCCATCTAGAGTCGCCCCTTGAAAAGGCTGCGCCTCTGATTACCCTGGAGAAGCTAGTCAAGGATGCATCCGCCGTGAGAGATGCCGACTCGCTTGAGTTGTTGGAATGGGCGTCCGAGGGACTGCTTGAGGACCATGAGTTTTCTGAAACCTTTGGGCCCCTGAAGCTGCGTTACGTGAAGGCCAACCCGAAGGACAAGAACGGCGGAACGAGGTGTTTGGAGTCATGTCTGCTGCACTGGGACCTCGTCAGCGCGCAACAAGTGAGTCTTGAGGGTTTGCGACAGCTGCTCACTCGATCTAATTCACTCAAATAGATTGCAGCCATTCTAGACAGGTCATTTCCTTCGGAGCGCAGCTTCATGTTCTGGAATATTGCCGTCACGCATCTGCTAGCGGTAAGATTTGCCATCTCTTCATTGATTCGCGACAGCTCTGACATGAATGTAGATCAGCGATCAATGTCCGGCTGGAAAAAAGCAGCTCTACGGCATGCTCGCCCTTAAGCAGATGCAGCGCGCGGCGCAGTTTGCAGAGCAGGTAATGATTCCGTCCTAATGCGGCAATCAGCGACTGACTTCATTCAACAGCATAGTGGCGCGGAGAAGAACGGCAACGTCCCTGATCGAGCCATCAAGACTGAAGAGGAGATCCTCCTTTTCTATCGCATCATGGAGGCTCATGCATCGGATGCCGAGTGGGATGCCGCCCTCAAGGGCCCTACGCTCAACCCCGTATACCAACTCAAGTCAGGCCGCAAGGACCTGTTTCTCCAGACAATTGAAGTTTTTGAGCGAAAGGAGAAGTGGAAGACAGTATACGACCTTTGCAAGGCGTGCCTGTCAATGACCGACGACAAGGGGCAGCTGAGTCTGTTGGCATGCGACTGGGCTGTGTGGAAGAAGTTCCTTAATGCTGCGGGCAGGATAGGAGAGTCTGCGCAAGAGTATGAAATATCGTTACTTGCTTGTGCTGAACCGAAGCTGACACCACACGCAGAGTCTCTACCGAGGTGTCCTCGCTCATCGATCGTTTCCTTGCACAGGAAAACATACGATCTATTTACAAGCGCAACATCTACCTGGCTAGGGTAGAAGCCGCCTTTCAATTCGCGCAGCCTAACTCGGCCACTGATGGAAATTCCAGCGAGTTCGAGCAGCTATGCCGCTACATTGACGTTGAATCCGTATCACCCGCCTGCTTCGAAGATGTCAAGGGTTTCGCCGAACGCCTTTCGCCCCAGGAGATCAAGGAGCTCGCCTACGAGTATGTACCACGCTTGGCAAAGGAAACTGAAGACGCTTCGAAGTCAGCAGCTGTACGAACGCTGGCTTTCAAACTGCAGTATCTCGGCCTGTCCTCATCAAAGACGATTGTCCCTGTTCCCAACGACGACCCGAAGAAGGCAAATGACTGGAAGTGCATAGTCTGCTCTACTTCCAATAAGTCATCATCCTGCACCGCCTGCTTGAAGACGCTTCTGGAGTCGGCGCTCTCTCTGTACTCCTCCCTCATCAACTCCTCCGAAATCAGCCAAACGCTGGACTGCATACCAGAACTCGCCATCCTGGCGGCCACTTGCCTCGTCAGGCTGAGCGGCATGCACGAGCGCGGCATCGATAACCCCACTTCCCTCTCCAAGACTAGCCGACAAGATCGCCTCCTCCAAGCGGCCCTCATCATCGAGGATCAGCTCACCAGAACCCCAAAGCACACCAGGCTAACACTCGTGCTGGTTCGCATCTACCTCGTCCTCGGCTGTGCGTCGCGGGCGAGAGAGGTTTGGGACACGGCGGACGTGAAGCGCACAATCATTGACTCCCTCGGCCCGTACTTCTTCGACCGCCTGTCGACCGTCGCCCCGACGCTGGTCCTGCCGCCCAACAGCCCCGGAAGGGCCCTGATGCAAGGGCTGAAGGCTCACTACCAGACATCCCTGAAGCTGAGAATGCCCAGGAGACTGGCCGATGCCTTCGACTCGGAGAGCTACACTGCGATCCTCGACATTCCCGGCTACATTGAGCGTCTGCGTAGAAGCTGTACCCTCGTTATGGGGTACGTGGAGGAGTCGAGAGCTGGGCGAGCCCTGGATGTTCGCAGCGATTCCATCTTTGACGAGCCTGCGGTTGGTAAGGAATATCTACCTCTTAATTGCAGCTTCATGACACTAACACATGGGGACAGAGGAGATTGTCGACGAGACCGTCCTAAGAGACATTATCGACTACGGATCCGTGCCTAACCTGGAATCATCGACCAGCAGGCCAATCTGGGACGTCCTGCGCCTCGGGCCCGATCCATCGGTAAGCATCCTCTCTCCATCACCCAAGTCCACATACTCACTTCCATACAGAACATCCGCTCCCACCTCGCCCTCAGCGCAGAGTCCTTCTTCGACCTCCTATCATACAAGGCCCCGTCCTCGTACAAGGTCACCAACGCCGCGCAAGCCGCCGCCGCAGAACAGACCTACATCCTCGAGTCCCTGCAACGCCTCAACACCTCCATGAGCAGGTTCCTCCACGCCCGCGGCACGCACCTCACCCAGCAGGAGGAAATGTACTACGACATCATCTCCCTCCTCACCTCCCTGATCGCCCTCGCCGTCTCCGCCAGCCGCACCCCGCCGCCTCCGGAGCTGCTCTCCAGCATCGCCTCCGCCGTCAAATCCGGCCTGGACGTCCTCCGCGCGCAGGCCCTTGCCGGGACGGCGGATGAGTCCCAGGTGCTGCTGATGCTCGGCTCCCTCCACGGCCTCTTCGTGCTCCGCGACGCCGCCGCGGCCGTGAAGCTCGCGACGTCGTACATCGTGGCGTTCAACGAGCGCGAGAAGGAGCGGGACCGCTCCGGACAGAGCAACATCCCCAAGGACGTGATGGCGCATGTGAAGACGCTGGAGGCAGCGGCGGCCACGGCGTTGAAGGAGGGCAAGGCGCGCGTGGCGTTCTTGAAGAAGGAGAGCGATTCTTTGGGCGCGCGCCTGGGGAGGTGGACCTTTGAGGCTGAGGACGGCGACAAGCTGGCTCAGCAGATCCGCGAGGTCGCCGGCATACACGTCGGCGTGTGGACGCAAAAGGTCGCCGACAGCTGGCGGACGAATGTCAAGGGATGGGAGATGGTGCAGTGGGAGTGAAGAGCTTCGCTGCAGCGCTGAGATATTCGTAGCCTTGCCCCTTCCTCTAGGCACAAGCGATGAGACATTTGGAGATCCATACCCGACCTTGTATAGATTTAAAAGAGCGGCAGTGTATCACAAAAAAGCAAAGGAGTTTAAAAGAATTGTCATGCATGCTACCCGTCTCTTTACAATCAAGTGCTTGCTCGCTTGGTATATCCCTTTCCGTGATGCCTTCGTCCAACTCCACTGATGCATGTGATTCTTCCACAATACCTCCCGCGGCAACGTCCGTCTGCCTCTTTAGAACGCACCCGGGTGCGCCGCCTCCTGCTTCCTGGCCTTCTCCCTCGCAATTGCCTCCTGCTCCTCGCGAAGCGTGATCCAGACCCAGAACCAGCTCACCATCTCGAGAAAGGCGAAGGTCAGGAAGACGCGGTTCTTGAGGCCGTCGCCGCCCCAGGTCGAAGGGGTATAGTTCGGGTTGTGGGCGTGGGCGTTGGGGTGGGCGAAGCGGGCGCCGCGGGCGTTGGCGTAGAGGGGCGAGGACGGGCCGAAGACGAAGGTGTAGACGACGAAGACGAGGGACATGAAGAGGCGGGCGGGAGCTGGAGTGGTACAGTTAGCTGGCTGAGTGATCGGAAGGAGGTTTCGCAAAACGTACCCTGCGTTCCCCAGTGGAAGTCGACCCAGATCTCTTCGGGCATGCTCAGGGTGACGAGGTCGCTGATTCCCAGCATCCCAAGGACGGCGGCGAGGAAAGCCAGGGCGGGAGACTTGTTCTCGAAGCTACGGGCATGGGGCTGCAAATTTCTCAAGTCAGTCAAACAACGCATTCATAGCCAGAGAAAGGGGACGGCGGGGGGATTTACCATGCCCATGGCCTCGCCCAGCACGTAGACCAAGGCCTGGTCCGCGATGGTGGCCGGGTTCGTCAGGAAGAAGAAGGCGAGGGTGACGTGGAATAGGGAGAGCGAGGTGATGATGGTCTTTGCCGAAATGAGCGCCATGGTGTCTGATTTTATCTGGACGGTCGTTCGTCCAGGTTGAGGGTCAGAATGAGTGTTGCGACGGAGAGAGGAGGAAGAAGAAGCAGCTTGGTAAAGGGGGTTCCAGTCGGCGGCGCGTGGGACAAAAAGTCGGCCAAGCAAGCATCCCGTCATGTGTCTTATCGACGTGGATGTGCGAGCTAATCCTGCACCTGCGAGGCTTATCGACGCGCAGCTTCCCATTCGCCTGCCACAGCATACAGCTGGGCGAGGCTTCCAGTGGTGCAGCTTCCCTGCTAGCGCCTGGAGCTAAGGGACTTTGAGAGCTGAGATGGGGTGGGGGCGGGGTCCTGTAGGTGCCGTCGGTATCCCGGACTGGCATGTTTTGGTCGTGGCACTTTTGGGGATGGGAATGCTGAATGCTCCATCATCTCCAACCACGAACCTCAATTCGTTGTACATCGCAACCATATGAGATGGCAGCCGACTCCGCGATCCCGCTCGAAAAAGAGCGCCACATCAAATACTGGCAACGCTGCCACAAGACCTTCCTCCCGCATCAGTACACCAGCTCCGACAGCACCCGCCTCGCCCTGATCTTCTTCATCCTCGCCGCCCTCGACATCCTCTCCCCGTCCTCCTCCGACAGACACCTCCTCACCGCAGAGGACCGCGCCGCCGCGCGCAACTTCGTGCTGGGCCTGCAGCACCCCGCCGGCGGCTTCTGCGGCTCCCCGACGCACGCCCTGCCCAAGGACGTCTGCGCCGGCTGGGACTTTGAAAAGGGCGCCCCGAAGCCGCGGCACGCGAGCTCTGCGAACATCGCCGCGACGTACTTTGCGCTGCTGATCTTCGCCATCGTCGCGGATGGGCAGGAGGGCGCGAAGAGCGCGTACGCCGGCGTCGACAGGGTCAAGACGCTGCGGTGGCTGCGGAGGCTGCAGAGAGCTGATGGCAGCTTTGGGGAGCTCGTGCTGGATGACGGGCGGATCGAGGGCGGGAGGGATATGCGACTTTGCTATCTTGCGGCGGCAACGCGGTGGATGTTGAGGGGAGATATGAAGGAGGGGGACGTGGATTGGGTCGAGGACATTGACGTCGACGCGATGGTCGGGCATATTCGACGCAGCCAGACGTACGACGGCGGGCTTGCCGAGAGCTCACAGCTCGAATCGCACGGTACGTTGTACCCTATGATGGATGTTTGGCTGGCGGTGGGCTGACTTGGGATGTGCAGCTGGATACGCTTACTGCGCCGTGAGCGCGCTCTACCTCCTCGACCGCCCCCCGTCGCAGGGAGCCACCCCGCACCGGAGTGTGACCGTCGAGAAGGGCCTCGCTGACGTGGAGCTGCTGGTCAAGTTCCTCGTCTACCGCCAGTTTGACTACTTTGAAAAGGAGGAAGATGAGGAGGATGATCCCAACTTTGTCCTGCCCGACACGCTGGGACAGCTTACGCTGGACGAGAACACTCGGTTCGTGGGCTTCAACGGACGGTGTAACAAGGTCGCGGATACGTGTTACTGCTGGTGGGTTGGAGGAACACTGCAGGTAAGAGGACGCCAGGATGGAGTCAGTGAACATTACTAAGAAAATGCAGATGTTGGGCCACGTTGATCTCATCGACGAGGTCCCCTCGCGCCGCTTCCTCATGAGCAAGACACAACATCTGATCGGTGGATTTTCAAAGTACCCAGGAGGGCCACCTGATATCTACCATGGATACCTAGGTCTGGCCGCGCTGGCGACCATGGGAGACTCTACACTCAAACCCTTTGATGCGTCATTATGCGCAACCAATGAGACGGTTGAGAAGATCGTAGTTGCTAGGCAAGGCCTGGATGAGGCTGCCAAGGCAAGAACAGCGTAGTAGACTTACTAAACGGAAGACATGGCATTTCACGAGACATGTGGCGTTGGCTTGAATCCTTCTTTTCAATTGCAAAAGCATCAGCACCCTCTGTTTAGTACAAGGTATCCTCTCTAAGTATGGTACATGGCGCCGAAGGGGAAATATACAGAAAATAACAATAAGAGAGAGCTTTTGCCTCGACCCATTCCATTCGGGCCTGTATAGTGGGAGTCGCAACAAAACAAAATTCCAGACTGGTATTTTTTCAAAAGTGCGCTTGAGAAGGGTAAACAAATAATAATAGGGGATTTCTTGGATCATGTCGGGATCGTCGGAGGGATCGCCGTCTGAGGAGTGATGGGAGTAATGGGGGTTTTGGGCGTTTTCGGGGGCACGTCATCTGATGACTTTGACCCGGCCTGACTTTGCGAAGGTATCTCGATCGGAGTCTCGCCTTCCTCATAGATTCGCTCTTCGATGCGTTCCCCAGGCCCACCGACAACGGGGCTGAAGGCATCCACTTCCTCAACCTCTTCCTCGGCCTCCTCGCCCTCTTCCTCTTCCTGAATTGGTGCTTCGCCAGACCTGCGTCCCATTCCGGATGCGCTTGCGCTTCTTGAGTGGCTGGAGCTTGTGCTTCTGGTGGTGCTGCCGCTGGCGTTCGCTCCGCCAAAGGCCAACATGGGGCCCTTGAAGATGTTTCGCTTGCGCTTGGCGAACAAAATCCCACCTCCCTGAGCGAATGGATTTGGCGAGCCCGGAGCTTGCATTCCCACTGAGGCGGACGGCATGCCCTCGTTGAAGAGGGCAAGAGGAGCCGGAGGACCGGGCCCTCGTACGAGACGAATGTTGGAGGGGAACGCTGTGGATGTTGGAGTGGCCGGCAGAACCTTCACAGATGAATGATGGGGTGACTGTCCGCGCCCTAAAGTGTTCTTGGTTGACACAGAGCCGTTTGAGCTCGTCGACGAAGCTTTGGAGTGAGAGTGGTGATGATGGGGCATAGAACGTATGGATGAAACGGATGAAGACGTGGATTTGCGGCCCCGCAGTCCTGCCGAGGAGCGACGCATAGTCGATCTAGGTGTCATGGGAGATGGAGATAATGATTGTCGTTTGTACGACGTCGTGATACGCGAGGGATAGTGTCCAGGCGTAACGGTGCTAGTTGATGCTGGGCTGCTGCTAAAGTTGCCAGACCCTCTCTGTCCAGGCAGCGCCTTATTCGCATGACCGTTGGCTACTACACCACGAGGAAGTCCGGCCTTCGCCTGTACTACAGCGCCGTCGGCAGTCGGCTGCCGACTCGTCTGAGGCCGCGGGCTCGTATCCTTGGAGTGCTTGCTACTGCCACCGGTACCGCCGTTCTTGTCGACCAGATTCGGCGTGGAGTGGCTGCCCCGCTTGTTCGCATGTCTACCCCTACGAGTGTTCTCAAAGAACCAGTGCGTCCAGTTCTTCCAGTGCGCAATGATGGCTTGAGAAGGCTTCTTTCGAACCTTTTGCTGCTCGGCAGGTCGCTCTGGCGTTCCGTTAGCCGCCAAAGCCTCCGACGTGGTCACGAGGTGAAGGGTCGAACCCCGAGATCTCGCGCTCCGGATGTGCCCTTCTTTAGGGGGCGGCACCGGGCGGCGATTTCTAGACGTACTGGCAGACCGGATAGAGTCCTTGTCGATGGGAGGCGGAGGTTCCTCCGTGTTTGGACTTCCATTCTCCTTGGTGTGCTCTGGAAGACCTGGCAGGTCATTGAAGTCAGAGTAATGTGCGCTTCTCCTTTCTGAGCGGCCCCTGGTTCTTGGCGTAATGGGCGCGTCTTCGAGTCTGATGAAACGATTCGTCAGTCCACCATCCTCGTCAACTTCCTGAAGAACAGGCGCAATCCGGTCGAGCCTGCTAGACGCAGCGGATAGGCGGCGCAAACTCCTGTTCTCCGCTTCTCGTTCGCGACGTTTTCTCTCCCTTCTGCGCACTTTCCGCTCCTCCTTCTCGATAAGCAAGGTCCACCAGCCAGCCAGAGCGTCGCATCGTTGAGCGAGAACACTCTCGATTACCGAATCGATGTCGACGCCTGCGCTACGCATGCGCTGCAGGGTTTCCTTCTCCAAAACGGTCGCAAATGGCGGCGGCCTCGTAAGCTTGAGAATTGCGTGCTGAGCCGGAGCATGCTCGGCAAGAAAAGGGTTCGACAGGATTTCCGGAAGCGAGGGTCTGAGCAATGGCCGTTTCGATAGGAGCGACTTGATCAAAGGTATCGCAGCCAAGGGCAGGTGCTCGGGGAACTTTGGCTCCTCACTAAGAATTTTCGTCCGTGTAACGTTGTCGTCGTCATCGTCGAAGGGCAGCTCTCCGCAAAGCAAGGCGTATAAAATGACTCCTAGGCTCCAAACATCGACCTTTTCTCCCGCGTACTTCTCGCCCTTGAGCATCTCGGGAGCCGAGTAGCAAATCGTGCCACAAAACGTCTGCAAGTGATTGGACTTGCCCTCGTACTCTCTCGTAAAGCCAAAATCCACCAGCTTAACATTCTCGTGTTTATCGAACAGGATGTTCTCGAGCTTCAGGTCGCGGTGGACGCATGATTGCTGGTGTACGTAGGAGACGGCGCCCACGAGCTGGGCAAAGATCTTTTGGACTTTGTGAACAGGCAGCGGGCCATGCTCAAGGAGATAGTTGTAGAGTTCATCGCCTGCAATAGGTTGGTAAGTATTTTTGCAGCTTCGTAAGACCGAATGCAAACCTACCAGCGCAGTATTCCAACACGAGCCAGACCAAGTTTTCGGTAACTATGACTTCGTAGAGTCGGGCGATGTGAGGATGGACGAATTGTCGGTGGTGGTGGATTTCTCGGGCGAGGTTCGAATCGCCCTTATTCGCAGATTTGAGGACGACCTACGCAGAGTCATATCAGTAACGGCAGCTTCGGATATCGCCCCATCCAGATAAATGTAGTAGGCGTACCTTGGAGCCATTGGTAAGCTTGTGGGTGGCCAAGTAGACTTTGCCGAAGGAGCCTTTTCCAATCAGGCGGCCGAGGGTGTAGTTGCCGACAGAGCCTAGATCCTTGTTGGCAAACTCGCTGGGAGAGAAGTTATTGGTTAGTACAAAGCAGCATCATGGGGAGGAAGTCTTGGTCAAGACTTACTCAAGAAGCTCCTGGTACGAGCGAGCAAGCTAGCATGGCATTAGCATTACTGATCCCAAGTGGTTGTCAATGTAGATGTGTCGCAGAGCGATCGAATGCTCTGCTCAGGGGCTCGTCATGGGCTGATCGGTGGTCGAGGACAGAGGCGCGAGCATGGGAGAAGGGTATAGGGACAGGAGGCAACGCACCTTGGCCTTTCGACCCAGGGCCTCGGCATTCCCTCTATTCGCCTGCATCCCTCCGTCTGGCGATGACTGTCAGGTCAAGGCCGACCGAAGCGAAGCTCGGCGTGGTCGGCGGTCTCGGGCAGGACGGAGAACAACTCGGGGTCGGGGTCTGGTCCGGTCGGCGTGAAGGGGGACGATGAGGACGGGCGTCTCGTGGGCGAATGGCGGCGCGCAACAGGAGCAAGGTGCATGCAACAGCGTGGCGATGCAAAGAGGAGGTGATGTCGAGCAGGATACGCGTCGAGAAAGGGCCAGTCGCAGGGGGTGTGGAGGTGCAATTGAAGCTGTCGTCGGGAACAGTTCAGGGTCGTCGGTCGTGACGGTGGGACGTGACGAATGGCTGGGGGGAGAGCACTGTGAAGTTTACCTCAGGTAGGTAGTGTCGAGGTGCTGCTAACGTAAAGGTGCAGGTAGGTAAGTAGGTAGGTACCTTCGCCTTGCGTTGGTGGCAGCCCGTCTGCTGCATTCACGAACGGACCCGGTCACCGCAGTGGGGACGGTAGGTCGGAGAACGTGCTGTCAGTCCAGTCAACTTGCGTCCCCGTCAGCTAAGGCGAGGCGGACAGGGACCAGGTGTCACAGGTACTTTGTACCTCAGCTCTTGTGCTCCGTCACTCGGTCGCAGTAGAGGCCCAGGTGGGAAAAGGGTGCAAGGTCCAAGGTGGTGAGCCGCCACTTGCCGCCTGCAGTGGAAGGGGGAAACACCACAGTCATTTGTGAGATTTTCGGTGGCCGGCAATGGACAGGCCCGTCAGAATTCCAGTACGATGATCCGCAGCAGTCTGGGTGGTCTGGGGAAGACACTGAATGCCTTACCTGGAGTGCCATGAGTGCCTAGGTAGACTGGATGCATTCCTGCAGCAGCTGACTGTGCATCTGGGGGCTGACCTCGAGCGTGCAGCAACACACGGGCAACTTCAGATGCAGAGATGAACAGCATGCTCTGGTTAGTGTCACATATAACGAACTATCCGTGCATCCTTCCAGATGCATCTCGGGTTGCGAAAGTCAACGGCGATGCATGTTTTGTCAGAAGCCGAGCAATTGTTGAAACAACCGGGAGTCAGATTGACAAGACGGGAGTCCACTTCATCCATCCAGGTGCTTGGCCCCCCACCGAGGCCTCGGGCATTTTCCTTCCATCACAGACGCCCTCCACTGCAAGCAATATGCTCCTTGGGCTCCGTCGAGGTAGCATCTCGGACGTGGTGGACAAAGCAGACGAAGCTCGGGTCGCTGCATGAACATGCGGCAGTATGGGGGTGGCTGGTGCTCGCATGCCACGTCGAGCCACACTAGGTACCTACCTTAGGTAAGGTGGAGGAGATAGCTCCAGAGCCCGTGCATGTGGCTGGACCCAATGGCGGCAGAGCTGACTGGAATGACCTCATTGCTTCCCGCGGGGAATTGTTTCCGTCCACTAAGCTCCTGCTGCGACCCTCTCCTTCCGACACCGCTCCGTTTGCAGCTGTCCGGTCTCCAGTCTATCGCTCTTGGACGTGGTGTTGTGCTCTTATCAGTACCAGAGCCAGTGGAAAAAGAGCTCCCACGCCCGCCATTGAAGGCGCACTATTTTCTTTTACACCAATTGAGTCTCACCAACCTCAATCTTGACAACGCCACCGCCGCCGCCGTCTGCAGAAGCGATGTACATCCCAAACCTCCTGGCCGTTGCCGCCCTTCTCCGGCTGGCTGCCACCTCCCGCATCCAGCAACCACTCGGCTCCGGTCCTGCTCCGCCCACGCCTCACGGCCCGGCAGCCGCCACGGAGGCCACGTCCGACGCAGCACCTTCTTGGCGCAACGACCTCATTTCTCTGCACCGTTCCCTCATCGAGATCCCCTCAATCTCGGGCAACGAGAGCGAGGCCGGCAAGTTCCTCGTCGACTACCTCACCGGCCGGGGCTACATCTCTCATCTTCAGTTTCTGCCCCCGCGCAACAAGGACAACAATGAGACCCCGCGCTTCAACGTTCTCGCCTGGAAATCGAACGAGCGCCAGCCTAAGCCCCGTATCGTTGTGACGTCTCACTACGACGTCGTGCCGCCTCATATCCCTTACAGCATTTCTGATGAGAAGATCACCTCCGAGACTCGCATCAGCGGCCGCGGAAGCGTCGATGCAAAGGCCAGTGTCGCTGCTCAGATCATTGCCCTCGAAGACCTCTTGAGCGAGGACAAGGTCAAGGAGGAGGATGTGATGCTCCTGTTTGTCGTTGGCGAGGAGGACACTGGTGATGGCATGCGCTTCTTCTCCGACTCTCTCCAGGAGACTGAACCCCGCCTGGAGTTTGAATCCGTCATCTTTGGAGAGCCAACCGAATCCAAGCTGGCGTGCGGCCACAAGGGCGGCGTCTTCTGCGATATCACGGCCAAGGGCATTGCCGGCCACTCGGGATACCCTTGGTTGGGCAAGTCCGCTAACGAGATCATGGTTAAGGCCCTCGCCAAGATCATCTCTACCGACCTCGGAAGCAGCGAGAAATGGGGAAACACCACTGTCAACGTCGGCCAGATCATTGGTGGTGTTGCCCAGAATGTCATCCCTGAGGCCTCACTCGCTCGCATCGCCGTGCGCGTTGCCATTGGCCCAGAGGTGGACGGCGGAAACACTGTCAAGGGCAGGATCCAGAAGATTCTTGACGAGACTGACGCAGAGGATTTAGAGTTGACTTGCACGCACGGATATGGTGTCGTTGAGGCCAACTGCGATGTTGAAGGTCTGTGGCAGCAACCTTTTACCTTCGGCCCACTTTCAGCTAACACGACTTCTAGGCTTCGAGACGATAGTCGCTAATTATGGCACTGACATTCCCAACTTGAAGGGCTCGCACACGCGCTACTTGTACGGGCCTGGCACCATTCTAGTTGCCCACGGGCGCAATGAGAATCTCACTGTCGCCGACCTCGAAGGGGCAGTTACTGGATTTCAGAAGCTGATCCTTCACGCCCTCAAGTAGTCCACTTGGATTCGTTGGCCGTAATAATCTTTGTAATCACCAGGACTGCATATCTATAGATCTACTGGTCCCACAATCTTCTCCCACTCCTTCTGCATAACCCTGCGGAGGTCAATCTTGTCCTGGTCCGACTCCGCAACGCCCCTTTCCGTGACAATTGCATCGATGAGACTGGCAGGAGTCACGTCAAAGGCCGGATTCCAAACGCCGACGCGCTGGTCGGCCGTAGCCACGCGGGCTGTCCGTGATGTATCAACGGTACCGTCAGCGTTGACGATGGCGCCGGTTATTTGCGTCAACTCATCTCCCTTGCGCTCTTCAATCTTGATGTCTTTGCCGGTCGCCGTCGCCAAGTCGATACTCGTGGTCGGCGCCGCAACAATGAACTTGACTCCGTGATACTTGGCAACGACAGCGAGCTGGTAGGTGCCGATCTTGTTGGCTGTATCACCATTGCGGGCTACGCGGTCAGCGCCGACGATAATGGCGGCGATGTTCTTCTCCTTCTTCTTCAACTCGAACAGAGCTGTGGCCATGGAATCGGTGATCAAAGTGCTGGGGATGCCCTCGTAGACCAGCTCAAAAGCCGTCAGTCTGCTGCCTTGGTTGTAAGGCCTTGTCTCGGTGCAATAGGCGTGCTGGAGAAGGTTGTTCGAAAAGAGGGTCCTGATGATGCCGAGGGCGGTGCCGTGGCCGGATGTCGCCAGAGAGCCGGTGTTGCAGTGCGTGAGGACCGAGATCTGCTTCTCTGTTGAGGCGCCGGCCTTCTTCTGCAGCCATTCAGACCCATGCTTGCCAATGGCGAGGTTGGTCTGGAGATCCTTCTCCAAGATCTTCTCGGCCTCTTCGATGTAGGCAGTGATGATGGCCTTGGGGTCGTCTTGTGGGGCGCTGCGAATGCAGGCCTTCAGTTGGAGGATGGCATTGGTCAGGTCAACTGCAGTAGGCCTGCTCTCCTTGAGGTAGTCCAGACGGGAGTCGATGTAAGAGACGGTGTCCTGAGCGGATGAGGCGGTGCAGCTTCCATTGTGAAGCTCAACGGCATGGGCGAGAGCTGCGACAATAGCAATGGCCGGGGCGCCACGGACCCGCATGGACTTGATGCAGTCGAATGCCTCCTCGCTGGTCGAGACGTCGTCATAGTGAAACTCATGAGGCAGTCTCAGCTGGTCGAGGACCTCGAGACGGCCGCGGGTGTACTTGACGGCTTGCAATCCAGACATGTTGGTGCGTGTACTGTGTAAAGATGCTTTTGAAAAGCGAATAGCAAACCAAACCGACAGCAAGCGGGCGCAAATTGACTCTATGTACTCCAAAATGGGACGTAAGGTTGGGTTGGGCTGGAGGGGTTCAAGCAACCAGCCCAGCTCACCTCACAAAATTCTGCCGTGCCCCTCCATTAGCACACTTTGGCGGCGTCATTTTCAGCCAATCGACCATGCAGGTGGCCGCTCACCGCCCTCGGCGGATCATCGGAGCATTGAGCTGAAGAACACTGCTCTGGGAAGCTGGCACCTGCCACCTGGACCCCCTGAGCCCCGCGACAGGGATACGCCGAAACGGTTGCTGCTGGCCGGCGCAGCTCTCACACCTGGCACACACCGCTGCGCAGCTGCACCGTCCACGCCGTCTGTTGCGACGGAAGCTCCACCGTAGCTTCACTGACCTCGCCGTCCAACACGGATCGCCATTCGGGCACGCAGACAACACCGCGCCAATCTCGCCCGCCATTGAGCCCTGCCGTCGCAACGGAACATGTAATTGTCGCCTCAGCTGGAGGAGCCGTTCAAGATGGAACGGCCTTTTTCAACCTCCAAAGTCACTGGTATGTCTTGCCAACCCCTGTGCAACGTGTCCGTCGCACAAACCGAGAGAGAGGGACAGAGAGGGCTCTTAGCTAACTGCTCGCGCGATTGCGCTTCGCAGTCGAGTACTTCGATCCCCACGATGTCTACAAGCTCATAGCCCCGGGACTGGTCCCGCGTCTCCCCCTTCGAAATCTGCACTGGCAATCGCATGCAGGCCCATTACGATCCATCGATACCCTCCACGTCGAGCTTATATCCCCTGATGCCCCCGCCGCCCCAGCTTCGCCCACCGTATCGCCCGCTCTCACAAGGTCAGTCAGCGCGAGCACCACCAAGGACGACGGCTTTCAGACCCAGCAAATCGGCGGGAAGAGCACCGCGGCGGACAATGCCGACACGGCCACGGCCACGGCCCGCTACTCGGGCGCTCAGCGAAGACACCAGATACCAGGTCTGAGGCGCACACCATACCTTAAAGTTCTGCTGGTCCGATGCGACGACAGCGACACGTACAAGTCCAAGACGCGATCCGAGATACGAGAGTGGATCAAGGAACACACGCCTCCCTCCCAGTCCACGCGGAAGGCGAACACGCAAGAGAACCATGATGCCTTCGAATGGCTGGTTGTACACGTCGTCATCCCCAACACGGCCGCCGCAAACCAACCACGAGTCAGCGGCAAGGGACCTGATGCTGCCGAAAAGTCGAGGACATCCAGATGGGGATCGGGTTCCTCAACCCTCCTGGAGAAACTCCGATCCGACTTCAACAGCTCCAGCAAAAGCGCGCCGGATCGTATTGCACAGATTCGCATAGGCATCAATGATGTGCCGTACGACATCCTGCCTCGCGTCGTGCCTGCCACACCGACTGGCTATTCCGAATCCCGCCAGGACGCAGAGAATGCTTGGGAAGACCTCATTGGCAAGTTCAAGGAGCTGATACTCTCCTCATTCGACATGCGAGTGACACAGTATGAAGATGATATTAAGGAGAAGGACTCGCAAAGAGCACTTCCAGGGTGGAACTTCTGTACTTTCTTCATTTTGAAGGAGGGCCTGGCCCGTGGCTTCGAAAGTGTAGGCTTGGTCGAGGATGCGCTTGTGGGCTACGATGAACTCAGTGTCGGACTGGACACCGTCATCCAGGAGCAAGCGACTTCAGGTGATGCTGAGAGGCACGGGGGATCTCTCTTGGACCACACCGAGGATTTGGTCAAGCGCGCGGAAGCTGCTGTTCAGGCTCTCGGTGCCGCTGAAGGATCCGAGGAGGACGATGAGCCAGTTGACTTGCAAGCTTCAGATGCCCCCAAGAACGACAAGTTCGACGAGATCCCTATCAGCTCTACAAAGAAGCCCTATCGGGAGATGATAGTGGCCAACAACGTATCAGTGTTCGACTTCCGCTGTTATATATTTGCCAGACAAATTTCGTTGCTCCTTCGCCTGGGCAATGCCTGGTCTACCCGCGAAGAGCTCTTGGCTAAGCTCAGGGAGCAACAGGAATCCGTCCTACACGGCGTGGCCCCTCAGGCGCCACCGCCCAAGCAGACCGAAGATGTCGAGAACCTATCAATGCTGGCCGAAATCTGCCGCAGGACGCTGGAATTCGTCCCTGCCGTGTCCCAGGTCATGAGGACTGATATCTTGTCTGCGCTGAAAGCCAAGCATTCAGGCGACTCGCCCTTTCTGAGCCCAGTCTTGTCTGAGGCAATCGAAAACCTCGTTGCTTCCTTCGCTTTCTCTGTTGCTCAGCAGATTCTTGCCCAGACTTCCACCAAGGCGCTCCCCATCCCCCCATCAACACTCGGCAACGCAGACACTCACGAGCAGAAGGCATCGATCCCTGAGCTTAAGACCATGATGCACCCTGCGCGAAACTCGTCCCTTTCAGTACGGACGACAAATACTAGGCCGCCACCCAGCCCTGGCATATTCCCCGGTGCAAGTCGGGCTAGCGCAGAAGATACCACGCCGACCGCCCCGAACGCCCAATATCTGAAGGCAGGCTTAGAAGAGCTCGCGGCCAGGCGCGCCGAACTCTATGCCCTGTCTCGCAATGTCCTCCAAGGCACCGGCAAGAAGCGGGGCTGGGAAAGCGGTTGGACTTCGGCGCCCGTGGTTGGCGAATCAGAGGCCAACGAGTTTCAGGAAGTGAGCCTCGAGAATGATGATAGGGACGAGGATGCCGATGACTCGGCACCTTCTTGCGTGGGCCTCGCCGGAATCGAGAACGGGCTACTGCACGCTGCTCTGGACAGCCGTGAAGACTTTTACCGGCTCTACGAAACACTCACGGACAAAGCCCTCAGACACTACACTGTTGCGAACCATACGCATGCAGTCAAGACCAGTATGGCTGATCTTGCTGTACTGAAATACCATCTGGGCGAGTATGGCCCCGCTGCCTCGTTCTTCTACATGACAACGCCTTTCTTTGGAGAGAACAGCTGGAGTCTACTGGAGCTGTCGATGCTTGTCATGTACTCTCACTGTCTACGGGAACTACAACGCAAAGATGAATTCGTGCGGGTGGGACTGAAGCTATTGATGAAGGCGGCGGCCGCCGAGAATGAAAGATTACTCCAGAAGAAGTCGCTCTCTGTGGGTCCTTCTGCGGAAGTTACATACCCCGACAAGAGTGCCATCAGTGGCTTTTTGAACGAGATCTTGAGCGTTGCGGCAACGCTGTCCAACGAGGTCCGGGTTCCTCTCAACCAATTATTTACCCAAGTGGAGGTCCTAGGAACCCCGGAATATCACGATGGAAAGGACCGATTCTCTCTTACCATCACATTGAGGAGCCTTCTGGTCGATGAGCTGAAGGTGGAAAAGGGCACTCTTCGCCTCACTCGTACTATTCCTGGTGGAACGAAGGAAGTCCGGCTGCAAACCTCGGAGACAAGCACGTTGAGGCCAGGCGTTAATAAGCTGCACTTCGTCAGCGCAGTAAGTAATGTAAACCGATGTAAAAAGGCCTCGGCTAACTAGGCACAGACGAACGTATCGGGGCCCTACAGAATACACCAGGTGGACATCGTCTGCGACAACGTCCACCTGCACTGGGAGCGTGACGTCACCCAGACACCGAGCAAGACCGCCCACGTCTTCCGCGTGCCCGACGTGCAGCTGTACCGCCCAGCAGGAGGGTTGAGATGCCGCCTTACGGCGGCCAAGGACATTCAGCTCGACAAGAACAACTCGGTCGACCTGGAGGTTTCAACAGGATGGAACTCCATCACGTCCTGCGAGCTGTCGGTGAAACCCGCCACCGGTGGTCTCCGTATCAACTCGACAGAAGCCAGTTTTGTCGGCCCCTCCTTCGAATATGAAAAACCACCTGAAGCTGGACTGTTCCGTTTCGGGGCCGTATCCGAGTCGACAACCATCAATATGCGCTTCCCCTACACTATTGAACAAGACGTCCCCAACATTTCCGTCAGAGTTGAGGTGAACTACACGACGGAAGACACGACGTACCACTACTCAAGCGTCTTCTCAATTCCCATCTCGCTGGCTTTGGGTGTCAATGTCCAGGATGTCTTCAAGGACAAGGAGCTCTTCTCCCGCTTCAGCGTCTCAACAGCATCTGCCAGCCCGCTGAAGCTGTTCACGACAAAGCTCCTGGACTCCGAAGTCTTCAAGGCCCACGCTGCCCCGGGTTCAAGTAGGACCGTTACAGTCTTCCCCAAACAGCCGGCCAGCTTGCTGTACAAGATCACCCGGAAGTCCGCGAATGTAATCACTGCCAAGACACCGCGAACCATGTATCTCAGACTCGAATACAGCGTGCTGTTGGACGAGATTATCGAACATGTCGAAGAAGTCTTTGCCGAGGCTACCAAAGAATTGCCGTTATCGACGTTCTCGGGATTCCTGATTGGACGTATTCTTAAGGAGGTCCAATCTGGTCTTTCTGCTTATGAGCTGGAACGTGCCGCCCTGCTTGGCGAGGTACCTACGAGCTTCATCTCGCCCGTGTTGGCGGAGGGAGCCATTTCTGGCCTGGGCGCTGTTCCAGGTACCAATGAAGATGCGACAATCATGCTGAAGGCGTTCCTGAAGGAATGGCAGACAGCCCACCCGCGACTTACAATCAAAGAAATGGAATCTGCGAGACGCTCCATTCTCATCCCCGTCGATGTTCCGTCAATCCCTGTCTTCCACTCCGTCGACATTCAGCTCCCGCCACCCTCAGAGCAAACTTTCGACTCGACCGTGGCCGTCAATGAGCTTCTCGCTGCCAACCTCCGGCTGCGGTGGACACGCATCTGGGATACAGCCGTCAGCGACGGCAAGAGCATCAACAAAGACTACGAATTCAGCTACGAGGTCAACGGTCTTCCCGAGACCTGGCTCGTCGGCGGCCGCAAACGAGGTCACTTCAAGAGCCTGGGCGTCGACAAGTCCGACACGAAGTTCGGCGAGTCGGAGCTCCATGTCCCCGTGCTGTTGGTGCCACTGAGAGAGGGCCGGCTGCCGTTTCCGAACGTCGAGATCCGCGAGGTGAAGGAGGAGAAGGACGAGTCATCCCAGGCGCATGGCCACCACGAGATCGACTACCAAAACATCGGAGAGACGGTGAGGGTGGTGGCCGACTTGCAAAAGGTCACCCTCAGCCTGGACGCTAGCGGCCCCAGTGGGGGCCCGCTTGTGCTTGAGAGCGAGCATCGCGAGGTGAGCGACCGTATTTTGCTGTAGATACCATAGACGACGCCGCCGTGATGCATGTCGCGACTCGGCATAATGTAACCACAAATCATGACGAACACTCGCCCGAGAACTTTCAATTGAGGCCCCCAAGTGAGCTCGTGCTCAGCCTCGCGCTGCCCGTGGCCTGATTACAGCCTGACGGCCTACTGCCAAGAGAGCAACGGCAGCGGGATTGCCGTCTCCATTCCGGGGCAACCTGCGATATACAAGGGTCGTCTGCCCGACCAACTCACGTGTCGCTTGCTTCGACCCCAGCCGGCCCAATGAGAAGAGCTGCACCGAGCCAAGCGAACCAACAGTCACCGCACGCGGTGAGGCTTAAGCGGCGCAGAGCTGGGGGTCGCCTGCCCAGCACGCGCCCAAGAGCTGCTTCGCCCTTTCTGGGTTGCCTGTAGCCCGTGGCCGCGTTCAATAGTCGAGAGCGATATGTATCAAACCCATGACACAGCCATCATGTGATGAAGATATAAACGCACAAAGATGCCCCCGCTTGGAAGTGGCTCCTGTTGGTTTAGCACCTTCCCCATCAAGCCATCGTCTGATACTCTATAAAGCATGAACTTCTCCGAGTCTCACGTTCCTCGACAATCGTCAGGTCTACTGTCACTCATCGTCTTCAACCAAGCCAGTAATCACAATCTACACAAAAAGACTATACAAACCCCACTGGACACACAACGCAACCCCTTCAACCACCTCAAGAGCCATTTTAAAATGTCTCACCACAACAACGACAGCCAAGTGACCTTCGTCAACAAGGACGCAAATCAAGAGCCACCCAGCCAATCGAAGGCGCCGAAGAAGAAGTCGCTATACCAGCGCTTGACCGGCTCCCGGTCCGGCGAGATCTCGGAGGAGGATATGCTGAAGTACACGGGGAAGAGCAAGGAGGAGTTGAAGGAGTGGGCCAAGGATCGGCCTGATGTTGGAAAGAACCAGGAGGCGGGGAGGGTGGACCGTGGGAACAATAATTTCGGGGTGATTGGGTTGGGAGTTCATTGAGATACCTGGGGATGTGGGCCGTAATTGTGTGTTGGAACATTTATGAATACCAGGGTAGAGCAGAATGACGACAAGCTTCCGTTTATGTAATGCCAAGCCAAATTGGGGCATCTTTCAGTGTATTTGGATGTCTCTACCAACAAAGTGATGATCGCCTGTGGAAGGTGACTCGACGTTTCAACGGGAATCTCAAGATGCCGACTTGTTTTTTTGTACCCAACTCGATTCTGACGCGAATGAGATTACAAGACAGGGTTTTGAGATGGGAATGAGAGTATCACTTGCGAGCTGAGGAGGAGACGAGGGCATGATTGGTTTGAGTTGTGTTGTGGGGAGTTGTTGGAACCGGGGCAGTGGGCGCGACTCGACGTATCGTGAGAACTTCCCGTACGCCTTTATGATGTAAGCGGGAACCCGAGCGATATCTGAGAGCCGACGCTTCATTATTTTGCCCAAACAACAGCATTCTCATCAGCATCGGTCTCGGCATGGAAAACCTCGGGCCGTTTGATGTTTTGCTGAGACAACATGAATTCTTTCTTATAAAAGACTTATCTTCAGACTTGGGCATGTTCCAGCAAAAGTCCAAGTTCTCCCATTCTTCACATCACCTTCCGCACTTTCTACGCTCTTTTCTTTCATCAAGTTTGCTTTGCGAAATTTATCATGGGCTCAAACGCGCCTAAGAACCTGGCCCTGAGGCTCCCGGCCTTTGGCACACCGTTGGAAAAGATCGAGCTTCCCATTCCCGAAGCGACCACCGGCACCGTCGTCACTCGCGTTCTGGCTGCGCCAGTCGTTCCCTACACGCATCTCGCCCACGACGGAAAGCTCCCGCAACTGAACCTGGAACCACCCTTGATCCCCAACTCCGCCGGAATCGGGCGCGTGCACGCAGTCGGCCCTGATGCAGTGCGCCTAAAGCCCGGCGATCTCGTCTATGTTAAAGCCCAGGTCCAGGCCCGAGATGATCCCAACACCAAGATCGTCATCGGGCACATCGGGGGTAGTGGGCCCCGGGCGAAGAAATTGATGCAGGGCGAGTGGAAGGACGGGGCTTTCCAGCAATACCAGAAGGTGCCGCTGGAGAACTGCTATCTCCTCAATGAGAATCGGCTGTGCAGAGAGTTGGGGTATGATGCGGCTGTACTACAGTCACTCACGATGTACGCCATCTCGGCTGGCGCCATCATCGAAGCGGCGGACCTCAAGCCCGCAGAAACCATTGTGATCGGCCCGTCTGGAGGCACTTTTGGTGGACTCGCCGTTGAGATTGCTCTTGCGCTTGGTGCAAATGTTATTGCTCTCGGCAGGAATAATGAGAAGCTTGCGGCGATGCAGAAGACGATTAACCATCCCAGACTGCAGTATGTTGTCATGAGCGGTGATGACGAGGTTGATCGGAAGGCAATCATCGACAAGACGCCTGACGCTGCCGGAGCGGAGGTCTACAATGACTGGACCCCAGGTGAGTTACCTGGTCCGCTGTACCTCTCCGCTGCATTCAGTGTACTCAAGTGTCAGGGCCGTATCGTTCTGAGCGGTGGCACCATGGGTGGTCTTGGGGGCATCAACTACGCAGAAGCTGTCTACAAGGACCTGCAGATTCTTGCGAAGTGGGTGTGTCATCGCAAGACGCTGGAGCAGCTCATCAACATGATCACCCAGGGGCAGCTCAAGATTGGCGCTGAGAGTGGCACGATCACGAAGAGCTTCACGTTGGATGAGGTCGAGGAGGCAAAGGAATATGCGAAGAGATACGGTGGCTGGAGGCATTACGCAGTCATGAGCCCTTAGAAAAAAGAACGAGTGCTGTTTTCTCATCAAAAGCATCCCGCGACGAAACCATTGAGCGATCTTCGTCAACTCACACTCTGTGGAAGCTTACTCTATAGCATAACAATACGCCCAAACCGGGCTTGAGATTACCATAGCCTTTAACGATTCAAGATGATTATCCAAATGCCCTCAGTCCAGGTTGACTCCCTGGTAGCTAGTGATCGCGTCCCCAATAGTCGCACTCAAGCTATCGGCCTCAGATTGAATCTCTGAGGCCTGACCTTCCAGGGTGTCAATGAGAGTAAAAGCCAGGGTCTGGAGAAACCATTAGTTATAAGTGATCATGCTTCGAGGCCCCTCGAGACTCACGTCGACAATAGCTTCAATCTGGCGCAGAGCCGCTGCGATAGGTTGTCCAATGAAAGGGACAGTGCTGAATAATCCAGCTTTGCCAATGAGAATTTCGAGGAGCGCCTGATGAACACGGACAAAACCGCGGAAGGCTTCGAGAATTGCGTCGGAGTTGGCGCCAGGCGGAATGGCGGCCATGCCCTGCATCTGCGAAAGGGCAGTAGTCGCGGTACTGACGATATCGGTAAAACCCCTGATAATTTCCTGTTGCGAGCGACGCGCGTCAGCTAGTCACTTTGCTGCATTTGCCTTGATGATGATCAAAAATTCTGCTGGACTGTCGACATACCGGACATACCGGGAAAGGACCCTGACCGGCTACAATCAGCGGTCCATTGACGATGGTGATTGACTCGGCAGGTGCCTGAAGGGCCTCGGACTTCTGGGTAAGCATGTTGATATTGCTGACGACTTGGGACGGAGTAGTTTGGCCGAAGACGGTGTTGCTGCAGATGGCTAAGGCAGCAATGGCAAACTTGAGGGTGGAGAAACGCATTTTCCAAGATTAAGAGGGTTGAAGGTGACGCGCAAAGAGTGAGGTGGTTGGCTAATGGTGGAGGCTTTGCATGAGCTGGTAGTTTGTAAATGATGAAATGGTTCGATAGTGAAGGCAGAAGAAGGGCTCCTTTATAGTTGGAATATCTTACAGAACACGGGCTCATCGTATGCCAACAATAATCTTGAATATTTCGTCGTGCTTGTGTAAATTGCTATCTAACCTCAAATGCCCAAAGATCTTCACAATAATATTTGAAAGATATCTAGGGATATTCCGAGAAGGTTTCAAGACGAAAACAGCCCTCTTCATCATTGCAACCGAGCAAGCTTTACCGAGAGCCTCGTATTTTCAGTCAATATATCTCTCAGCGGACAAGGTGATAGATGATTTTCTTAGTTCCTCTGGGGAATATCTGAAGTTCGGAGCTAAGGCGCTTAGGTTGCTCCCGAACCCCGAAAAAGACAGGATTGGCAATTTTTAAGACTTAGAGGAAGAGGTCTCACTTATTTGTTTCTTCCCTCCGGCAAATTCTGTCATTGATGTCAAGACTGTCGAGCCTTACTGCCTTGCTTGAGACTGAGAAAGTATCGAGACAAGACTCAAGAAAAATGGGTATTTACTGTGGATCCAGGATCTCAGACATTGGAGATCTGAGACATCGCCGAGCGTCAACTGCCAGATTCTTGAGGCTTAATGCGGCAACGGCTAAACGGTCCTCCCTGTGAATCATAGCAGTACCGTAATAGCGAGACAAACATGGTGCTAATATGCATCTTGATACCAAACGGGGCTGGTGGAAGTTGTCTTCGAGCTTGGTCGTGAATGAAGTGCATTCCAAGGCAGAGGATCGGAGCTCAAGTTTGCCGAAGCCAGCGACCTAGACAACGTTTCCCGTCCTGGCAGAAGATCGCTTCATCAAGCTTCCACAGCAAGTGAAAAGCAATTTGTGCGATTGCTGCATAACTGTCACGCGAGAATTGAGCTTGCATGGTCTCAAAAATCGGCCAATTTACATGGCGTGCCTGGATATGATTTTGCGAGAGGTCTTCAATGAGTGCCCGCAGAATACGATTCGCAATGCATACCCACAGCAGACATTGGTATTTCATTTTGTTACGAAGGTTGTTGCGTTGAGCCAAACGGAACCAACCATAGAAAGCGTTCTTGGAACAGCACTCTCAATCTGCGTGCTAAACTCTTAACTACCAATACTCTTCTGGAAAGAGAACGGCGCATCAGTCAGGTGGCTTGCTAACATGCCTAATCAAGTCTTGAGTTATACGCTAGGTGATCTGCCGTAATGACGTGCAGGGTAGGTCGGAATGGACGTACACATGTTTCGGGACGCACAGGGGCCGCTGCGGTCGGGTGAGTTGTCCCCAGCTCCGGGCCATTAGCCTGAGACATCTTGGAATGTCATTAGGATGCTTCAATGCTCAGATTTTTGACTAATCGGAAAGCAACTGGCAATGATCTTCGTCTTCTCCGTCGTAGTCGTGAAAATGTCGCATAACAACATGCTTCAACTCTACCGACTCTAATTACTTGACATTTGAGATTCTCTGACGACATGTCTCGGCATTAGCCTAGTAAACTCAAGGTAGTGGGCGAGAGCCAGAATCAAAGTGTAAATCTAATTCTTTAGTCTTGGACGGAGTATTTCCCTCCGTTTAAAACGGTTTTTGGGTGTTATGGAAGTGCTCGTTGGAGAGTGCTTCCACACCCAGAGAGTCTCATGGAGCCCACGAAGATTCGTCTAGTCGAAGTCTGGCAAAACCAAATTCTATTATCAATGATTGGTAGAATGTTTATTTTATTTGGATTGGCTGGGTGTCGCGGCACCTCAGAAAGAAAGGAAACAAAAGGTTGGTTTCTCGTCGGCAAAGCCTGGACAACAGCTAGAACGGCTTCGAAGCTCTGCAGAGATTACCGTCCTCGCTCTCTAACCACTCCTCGCTCCCAACACACTGCGGGCACCACAAAAGCCCCTCAGGGTCGTACTTCTCCTTGATACTACGAAGCCGTCCATAATTGGGTCCGAAGAAAGACCATTGCCAACCAGGCTCAATTGCGTTTGCCTATGAAAGTAGAAAACACGCATTAGCAACTGACTTTGCGGGCAGCTTCAAGCGGAATAAACTCAAAGGATGACGAAAGAAATGATTAGACAATAGGACATAAATGAGGACAACTGACCTCGTTCAGATAGGTCCCCGTTTCCGGATTCAGCTCTCGCAGAATGTTCAACTTGTTGTATGTCATCTCGTTGACCAGCGTAGACACAGTGGTGTTTGGCGTGGAGTCCGTCCATGATTGAGAAGTGATGAGATGGACCACAGAATCGCGCCACGCAGGATTCAGCGCATTGTCGACGGGAACCTGACTGATCGTCATGGTTCCAGACATGGAAGGATTTGGGCTTCCGTCCTTCATAGTGATGGTTAGCTTAAGAAGTTGATGGAAACGAACATGAAGGCAAGGGGTTCTCACTGTTGGCGCGAGGGCCTGAGGGCCAACCTGTTCCAAAACCTCGGCGAGTAGATCTTCGTTTTCGGTGACAACCTTCCGACTGATGAGTCTTGAGGCAGAAATCCCAGACCCCCCAGCGTGATCGGGAATCTTGATGTCGGTAAGAAGGCCGTAGAAGGATGGGATCGGGACGACCTGAACAGAGCCGCTCACAACACCGCTCGAATTCGAGATGAGTTCTCGAATGGGAGCGACTGCTTTTGAAACAGTGTTGTTTGACATATTCCAAGCAAAGAGTGAGCCGGCCATGCCAACTGTCGCGCTCGAAGGGGGGCCTCCGATGGTGTAGTAACCCTTGATTCCTCGGTCTTGAAGTGCAGGGAGCAGAGTGTGCAGCTTTGCCACGAACTTCCACCAACTCTTAGTTGATGTATCATTGTTAGCGGACACATTGACGCCAAGCAGAATAATATCTGGCACAGGGTATGCCTTGACTGTCATGTTGACGATAACGCCGAAGGTGCCACCTCCGCCTCCACGAATCGCCCAGTAGATTTCCTCATTCTGGTACGCGTTGACTGTGACCAAATCACCATTGGGGATGACGACTGAGGCTTCGAGAATGCTGTCTGCGCCCATGCCGTACTCTCCAGTCAGATGGCCATGTCCTCCTCCGGTAGCCCATCCGACAACACCAACGTCCTTCAAAGCAACTGTTAGCTAGTGCTCTTGAAGACGTTCTCGAAAGAATTCATACCATGTTCGTGCCGCCCACGGCCACCACGTTGTTCTTCTGTGCAAAATCGTAAAGCTCGCCGTCTTGGACACCAGCTCCAATAGTGATAGCCATTTGGCTACCTTTCCACGTAGAGTTCGCGGGGCAGGAGGGAGACTTAAATTGCGTATGAAATCGGGTCTGCTTCATGTTGTGCGTCCATATCCTGTTAAGAATGTATGAGCAATGCTGTGCAAGTGAATGATTGGCGGAAGAAGAGAACTTACGACAAGCTTCCGACTCCTAGGTTTCTATGTTCAAAAATTAATCAAGGGTCTCTCATCGATCAATGAGCGCGTACCTGCCAGAGCCATTGTGCCCCGTGTTCTTGATAGCCAGCCTGAGGTTACGATCTTTTGCGAACGCAAGTGCCCTCTGAATGTCGCCAGAGTCGCTTGCATTGACAACGTAAGGAGGCAGAGCACCCAAAGAACAGCCCTTGCTACCGGCATCAGGATCCCCGTTGATGCTGGTTCCGTTGGGATAGATCGGCTCGCAACCTTTCAGGGAAGGCGAGGAGGGCACACTGGCTGGGTCCGAGGAGTGGAGCGCCCAGGTTGTCCAGTTGGAAAGAACGGTATTGCAGGAGTCTTCGTTGTAGTTCGGCTCGGACTTGTAGCAGACGGAGGCGAGCGGAACGGTGCGAATGAGTTTGCCGGAGATGGTCTGATTGAAGGATTCCCATTCTGACAATGACGGCCAGCAAGTATCCGAAGGAGTCTGTAACCGGGTTAAAACGATTGTGTTGAGCACCATAGTCCATATCTGATGACAACGCCGAAAGTTGGTCTTCACTTACACACTTGCACGTATTAGCCAGAGTGCCGCCGGCTAGAGCAAAACTTGCCACGACAACTTTCACTGTAGACAACATGTTTCTAGTGACAAGAAGCGATAAAAATGAATGAATGTTGAGTGATGGCTACCTCAGACTAAGCCATGAAAACGAGAAGCCGTCAAAGATTTATACGAATTGACGAAGCGCTGCCTAGAAAACAATCTTGGACATGATCATGTCGCATTGATCCAATTAAAATGGCTGAATTGGCCCATTTGGAAAGTGAGGAACTGAATGCCGTCATCCATCATAGCGAGATCAAAGAGGCTATAGTCGAAGAGTCCATCCTGGCTTGAAAGCGTATTCTAAGCGCGCTGTACGAGCTAATACGCTCGATATAGGCACCAATGACTACTGCTTATATGCGGGTACCCGAGAGTCGGCATCTTCTCAATGCCCCAGTCATCCTAGAATAAGTGGCTATGACAGGGTCCATTGGCACGGATGTGGTATCGTTGGATAGGATGGGGTCGGAAGGACCGATTTAGGAGTCAGGCGTGAACCGCGCCACTGGAAATGAGCTAGCTGTGAAATTGGCATTGTGCCATCTCCCGGAGACTAGGATCTACGTCCCCCATAGCGGACCGCCGATGTCCCCTTGTTCGAAATATTTAAGCTCCATCTGTCTGGGCGCTCGCATAGAATCCGCGGATTTCTCGTTCAGATCCCACAGCTGGAGCGCCGTCGACGACCGCTCATTCACCGTCCTCGTCCATCCCGAAAACAACCGCTCCGACCATACCAGTGGCGTCTATGCACCAAACCTTCCACAATGAGCTCATCAGAAGGCACTGTTAAACATAGACGGCCTCACAAAAAGTCCCGATTGGGTTGTCGAGAGTGCAAGAGGAGGAAAATTAAGTGCGATGAAGCTAGGCCGAGCTGTCTTAACTGTGTACGCAGGGAGGTCGACTGCAGTTTTCGATTGGAACGATATGAAGGAGATGGTGCATCGAAGTGCATGAATTGTCGTTTTGGAACAGACGTCTTATCTCAAACAAACACCACGCGCACAACTGGCCCAGGTCTCTCGAACTCGATTCAGACTGATGGTATTTCGTCCACCCTACTGAGCGTACTGGCCGAGCAGTCCAAACAACTGGAAATCATATCCCAGCGATTAGCAATGATGGAAAACTCCATGGCCCGGTCTGCTCAGCACGCATTCTCGCATCCCGTGCTGAGCTACGCTGATATGGAGCTGCTGCACCACTACCACACGATAACAGCCTCGACCTTGGCTCATGACGATAAGGGGAAACGCTTCTGGCTTGTCCGGCTGCCAGAGCTTGCTTTCCAATATCCACACCTTCTTCATCTCATGCTGGCGTTCGCTGCGCTGCACAAAGTTCGCCTCCATCCTTTACAGCAAGATCTCTTAGCCCAAGCCGAACGACACCATGTTCTTGGGATCCAAGGTTCTACTATGCTTCTTCAAGACATCAACGATAGCAACTACGAGGTTGTGCACACTTCGGCAATTTTGATCGGTCTGATTAATCTAGCTTTGGGTCCAAGGCCAGGAGAATACATCGCATTCAGCGACCAAGCTGGATCTGACTTTCTCGGGCTCTTACGAGGGGTACAATCGATCAGGTTCCACAACGACGTTGACGAAAGCACAAATGCGCCCTCTGAAGCCGCAACGAACGTCTCAATCTCACGAGAATCTCCGGAATATGGAGGCGACACTGGGTACAGATCCCATTTTCAAATGCTACGACGTCGAGCCCAACAGATATCCGACATTGGGGTCAGGGCAGCTTACAACATCGCGTTGGATGATTTGGAAGTGTTCTTCGTTGTGATGGAACCATCTACTTTAGAAAACGAGATGATGTCAGCGTTACCTGATGCTGCACATCACGCTAGCCCTCTCGGCTGGCTATACCGCATTCCGGAGCGTTTTCTAGACCAGCTTCGGACGAGAGAATCTCTTTCATTGGCAATTCTGGCTTGTTTTACAGTAGTGTTGAAGGAGCTAGAGCACGGATGGCCTGCTGATGGGTGGGCAGATCATATTATGGCTGGGGTTTGCGAACGCACAGAGCCAGCAGCCCAGGATCTTCTACAATGGCCAGTGGCACGCCTGGGAGACAGTCTCCCGTGATGGGATTCTGTCTAGAACATTGCTTCGGAAAAGAGAGTACCTGAAATTTCGGAGCCAAATCACTGGCAGCCGTGTTTCGAAGAACCTTTCGCCATTTTCCAGGTGACGTGGCTGAGTAAAACAATATCGTAAAGAATACGAAGACGTTAGCGACAGGGAGAATTTTCGTATCCCATCCGAAAAATAAGACTTAGCCACTGACGGACTGCCCATTCAGAACACCCGTTGCCCGACCAAACCAATCGACTCGTCAACAACATAAGGATTTATGCAGATGGACTGAAGTTTTCTCCCATGTTGTTTTCACATAATTTTGTTCACAAAATGAAGTTGTGCGTCGCACTCCGTAGTCGAAATTCGTCTGGGTAGATTACTCCGCGATTACTCCGTACTCCGAATCCATCACCTACTCTCCGAGTGCGGAGAAACAAAGGATCTTGAACCCCGTTGCCGATTATCGGAGTGATCTTACTCCGATGAAGAGCTTCATCGGAGTTCCCAAATACTCCTCCGTTGGCCGAACACGTTGGAACTTTACCACACGGACGAACTGCACGATTTTATCGTGTCATTGAACGAATAATATGACGCCCCGGCTGGCGGCATGTGACCCGTGTCGAACGGCGAAACTGGCTTGCGGCCATGAGCGGCCCGTTTGCGCCCGATGCGTCACAAACAACCGAGAAGATGTCTGTGTCTATCGCGCGACGCCTTTCAAAAGGAAGCGAACCGAGACACTTTCGCCATCATTCTTATCTTCAAAGACGGCTCGGTATGTACTGGGTTGTGTCATTTGGTCAACAGTCGCTAAAAGTCCACTGAAAGCTACCAACCACTAGAGGATTCGCCTGTATCATCAACTCCAACCCGTCCCTTGAACCCGAACCCTGGATTTCTAGGGGCGTCTAGTCACATTTCCATCTTCAGTCACCTGATACAGGATGCGAACGACAGCCCAGAAAGAACTGCAACCAGCAGTGTAACGTCTAGGCCAGAAGCTGCGCCTAATACCATCTATTTGGACGAGGAACCAATTGTTAAAAACACAGTGGACTTGATGAGACATGTCTTCCAAAGTTTTCCGTTAAATGCTATGCAAGATTTGATTAGCTTCTGGCGTGCTACAGGCGCCAATCTAGCTCTTGCTGAACCTTTCGTGGATGAATGCTCCCGAGCCCTGGGCACCATCCTGGAAGGAGAGACCGACAAAGATGACTGGTGGCATCATTCACTCACTCATTTGTTACTTCGAAACTCGAGGCAGACACTTGGAACTAATCCAGGGTGCTCCATTTCAGACTTCACAGCTCAGTTCGTAGGCCAGAACCTGCGATGGGAAACAGTGGGGATTTTCTTCACAGCTGTGATCCGAGCTACAATGGAGGTGCCCTTCTTCCCATCTTTGTACAAATCAGATGTGCGAAGACAACAGCTTGTTGGACTAGCAATCAAGGTTTCGGATGCCTTGGCAGAGATATGCATATCTTTAGACTGCCTGAATGACCTCCAGCTCATTGCACAGTATGAAAACTTCATCGCTCATTCATACGTTCTTGGGATTCAGTGTAAGTGTCATGGGATGGGAACCGCCATAGAAACGCAACTGATGCATCTCGCAGCTTACTCGGCGTGGAGAAGGCTTGGGGATGTCATTGCATCAATTACTGCGCTTGGTTATCACCAAAAGCCGCCAGGACCGGCTTCAGCACCCTTGTTTCTCGTCGAGCTCCGAAAAACCGCCTTCGCCCGCATTTACTCGGCCGATAAGAACTTTTCAATCTTCCTTGGTCGCTCTCCAAGGCTGAGCAAAAGATTTTGTCATCTCCAAGTTCCTCAAGGACGACTGATTCTTGACTCGGAGGAGTCAGATCAACCAGCGTCTGACAAGACGGGAGATTGGACACAAGATGCACAAGCTTGCTACAGAGCAGACACCCGTTGGTCCGCACAATGCGCCTCCCTCAAAGAGGACATCCTAGCTATGTTGTTTGGCGATTGTCGAGAAATATGCATGGAAAAAATAAAGTAAGCGTAGCTCTTCAATACAGACTGCATCTTTCAACACTATCATGGCTAACCACACATAGGTTGATACGAGAGCGTGCCCAAAGTCAATGGATGCTGTTACCCCCTTCTCTTCGGCTGGAAGGGAGCATGAAACGATCAGACAGAACTCCATTTGAACGCGATTTTCTCATAAGCGCACGTCTCAATTACCTTCACATCCTGTTTCTTACGCAACTTGTCTGTCTCAAGTCCCCACCAGAACCGGACAAGACCATCGTTGAACTCGCTCAAGAGATTCTGTCTTTAGTCGTAGAAGCAGTCGTGCTTAGGGATCAGGCCGTCTCTTCCGGAACAAGTACAGTATGGAAGGTAAGGTTTCGACTTTCGATTCACAAAGTTCAATCTAACTCTATTGAGGTTGCGCACTATGGACTTCCCGCTGTCGGTATAGCGTTACTAGCCATGCTGAAACAGCCAAGTCTCGTGACACAATTCAAGATCCCAAAGAACAGAACTTTACAAGATCTAGGGGTACTCGTTGCTGAGATTGAGATGGGAACTATAATTCGGCCTGGAGAGCCGAATTTTACGGTGCTCTCAGCAGCTGCGGACACCATTCAACGATTTCTCGACCGCATACAAATGGAGGACTCGCAAAGTAAATACATCAGTTCGCGGAAGGAAACTAATCCTTCCAATGATTCTGAGCCATGGGACTTCGGATTGAGCCTGGATCCTTGGAATTTTGAACTTGGATTTTGGGAAAGTCTCGCAGAGCATCCTTCTTTGTACAACAGCGGGGATCAGACTTGATGTCTTCAAGCCGCCATAAGTATACAAGACTGTGACGCTATCAGCCCTTGAGGTCAAGTCTCAGTACCTAGTGAATTATTCTGTTATTTGAAGTAGATATGATACCGAGAGAAAGATTCGAGGAGTGTCAGCTCCGGAACCGTTCTTTCGATCTCTTGAGACGAGAAATTTACTTTCTGACCGGTGCGGGTCTCTGTCATTCGGACACTTCCCCGCCGCTCTCAGCTTCTGCCCATGGGGAAGATCGATTTCGCCTCGTCCTCTTTCACTGCCCCCCTGTCTCGCCATCAACGGCAATATGCCTCAATCCGTCTCTTGTACCCGAGCTCTTGTGACTTGGGGTCCGCCGAGAGTCAGCATCGCGCGGGGCGAGGAGGTCGTATTTATCGGCTTCTTACCCTTATCGTAGGTACTCCCTGCCTCCCTCATTCGAGGATACCATGCCGAGGGACTGTTACCACCAGTACTGTTTTCTGTAGTCCAATCAATAGAGACATGATAAAAACGGCGGTGAGCGCTGTTGCAATGATTGACAACCGCGAGTGGATAGTTTCATTTAATCGAGGCAGGGTTGAGCACGGAGCAGTTGACGACCAGGGCTTCGGATGTCCGCGGCGGCTTCTGAACTTCCAGGCGTGATCCTTGTGTCTTGAGTTGAACTCACTGCGCGCGTTTGTGACCGATCTTCAGGGTCTTACTGTTTATGGTCGTCTTGAGACCACATGGGTCGGGAAAGTTAAACTTCAAGGGACCAGGGGTTCGGTCCGGAACTTGACAGAGCTAAACTTCAGATCACAAATCCGAAGCTATTGCGGCGTGTCAAGACAAGAGGGACCCAATTTGAGCAACTGTGGCATGGCAAAGAAGAAAAACGGGTTTCCAAACTTCATTCGCCACTTCACTTCTGGAACGATCGTCGTCACCGAAACCCTTCTTGTTGCCATCTTTAGCCCACAAAATCGGTCGGCTATCAACACTATGTTCGGGAACTTGTCAAAGCTCTAGTCAAAGCACGATGCCACTTCGCTAAGTGGGCTGCCCTCGTTTCAAGCCCAGCCCAGACCACTGGGACACAAGGGAAGAGCTGTAGAATAAATGCAGAAATGCCCATCTCATTTCCGCATCTCACGTTCCAGGCCAGGCGAAAGACAGGCTGTTTAAAGTTCACGACTAGTAATAGAGTTCGTAGCTGTATGCGCCTCGCCTGCAACATACGACACGTACTTGGCTGGAGTCACATTAAAAGACAAGGTTCCCTAGATCTACTGTGCTCTCGACAGTACTCATTCTTGATGCGTCTTATATGTAGGTTGATGGGACATTGTGAACATTCATCTCTTGTCTTCGGTCTCGGTTGTCATTTTCTCCCCAACGTTGACGGCAATCTGCCCAAAGAAAAGAGCGAGACCGAACGAAATCATGTTCGCAACTCTTCGAACCGAAGATCGAGATGGGGAGGTGGTCTGCATATCGAGCACAAATCAACCGCCAGCTCCGGGTCAGAATCCAAGTCACTTTGCATGTGATGGGTGCCGGGCTAAGAAGGCAAGTGATGCGCGTGGAAGATAAGGACTTGAAAGAGTAACGCTGACCAGTTCTCTCTAGTTGAAATGCACTGGCCATAGATTTGGTTGCCAACGTTGCAGAGATCGCAATCTCGTATGCACCTACACCAACGCGTCTCAACCCAAGCGGCGCAAGACAGGGAGAATTTCGACTGCTCAAAGGGTCTCTTCGTTTGGAGCCCCAACACCGACAAGCTCGGAAGATTTAATGATTCTACCCCGCACACCTTTGGAAGACGCCAAAGTTTCTATATCAAGCCAACTCCTGGATCAGAACGTAACGAAGGAAGCGAGGCATAATATTGCGCCTATAATTTCTCGACTGCCCACGAACAGGGATACCCACGGCCCAAGCATAACAACTCACTTGTCGACAGACTCAAGCGACTCATCAAACACTTTGCCCACGGACCAACCCGTATCTGTGCCCCCGGAGTTCCCTGATTTAGCTTTGCCGGAGTATATCGAGTCAAGCTTTCAGGAGTTTGATATGGACGAACTACTCGAAGCCGACCTTGCCTTATCAGAGCATGATGAGAGAGAACTCAGACTGGACAGTGTTTTCGCGTCAAGTTCATCATCAGAAAACAGATCCAATTCTCGAGAGAGCAGCTTTGCAAACACAAGCGCGACTTCAGGTGAGTTTCAATGCTTCATCATGGCGTGCAAAGACTAACAGCACCAAGGAGACGCTGAATGGGACGCAATACAACAAAACAAGAGGAAGCGGATGGAGGAATCTCTGCCATCCCCGAAAAGACCCACGGCACATATGTCATCTAGTGGGCGATCTTTAACTCCTTTCTCATCAAAGATTGACCCAAAAATGGAAATTCGCCAACCACGAGAAACTTCAACGACCAGAGACAGGACAAGAACTCATCAAGCGTCTCCGTGCCGCTGCATGGGAGTCACTTTGGGTCACCTCGAGAAGGTTCAAGGTCATACCAAACTCAACAGTCTTTGCTCAGCAGAGAGGTCACTCAACTCTCTTAAGAAGTCGATATCACAGTGTCACGCCCTGCTGCAATGCAGCTCATGCCGCAACCCTTCTAGAGTCATGACCTTTTTAATACTATTGATTGAGAAGATGATTGGTATGTTGGAAGACATAGCATCTGTATGGGAAACGAGTTTCATGTCGTCTTCATCCGAGCGGGACTCATCGCAACTGGATTTGCATGGACACGCGCATCGCTGGTTACCAATTCATATCGGGCAGTTTCAGATTGACTCTGTCCAGGAACGATTCGAAGTCTTTGGATTCCTGATTTTACTTCAAGCAAGGCATATGAACGTTTTCTTAGAGGGGCTGGTATCGCATGCGGCGAGGGAGAATTGGGAGTCTCATCAGAACGCCTTAAGGCCAGTTGGGCTAAGAATTCGAGACTTACAAGAAACGCTGGGGGCGATGACATCTGGATCCGGAAGATAGTATTACTGAGACACGAATAACGAATACACGAGCACTCATCCACTGAGAACGAGACTAATCACTCACACCTCCCCGACGAGCGTGACAATTAGGGCGCAGATCGGACTGGACATCGTGAAGCGACTTGTCGGTTGTGGCCCCCATCTGCTTCAGTATCCGATGTGGAGACCGTTGCAACGCTAATCAAGTAAGTCCCTGGTCCCGAGTCCATGTAACACCTCGAACTTTATTCTATCCTTCCCTCAGGTTCAGGCTTCAGCGCAAAGCATACGCAATGAAATAATGCGTCTCTTCCCAGCCCCTTACCCGCTTTCCTCGAGCAGAATACCGTGGTTAACCCGCGAGTCAACACGTGCAACAGAAGTTGGGATGAGTCCGTGTATGGGACAGCCCGTAAAGAGGGCGAGCGAGAATGGTGCCCTGATTTTAGAGTTCTTAACAGAAAGTCTATTAGGGGGTGTCTCCCGGCCCGACCCCTTGCAACGGTCAAAGCTTGGCGAAAACGAAGCCAGTGGCGCACATGTATTCGTGGCACTCGGAGGGAGAGAATTGCGTGACGGATACCACTCTGTGTCAACACGGACAGATCCGGTTTTATCTGAGTCGTCTTTGCCGACGTAGAAGAATGCAACAGTTTGGAAAGAGGGGCTTTTGACCATCAACCGCCTTCGCATTGAAAACTTGCCGATATATCCACTGAACGCGGTCTCAGCACCATTTCGCGGCCTCTTGGTAAAAACCGAAGCATGACCTGATACTTTCTACGCGCCCGCACTTGCACCGGTGGGATGCAACAACGGCTTCTCCACTAAATAGTCAATCCGGTGTATCCCTTATCCCCCCGCGGAACGTCCATTTTGATGACAATGTACTGCCCGTAAATCCACCTCGCTGTCACTCGGAGGCCGTCAAAACCTTGTCCCAGACGGAGCTCGCCGCTTCCCCACGTGGCTACATCGAGCAGGACGGTGCGCGCGAATACTGCATGACATTATCGGCATCTTCCTAACTAGGAAGTCAGCCGATTCTGAAGTCAGAAACGTGAAAAAAAGACCTCAGTTCCTCATAAGGCTCTTGGCAGCTATCAGGTAATCGGGAATGAAATAATTGTGATTGTTTCGTAGAATGACTGCACAATAGATAACCGCCATTAAAAGGAATATTTCTATCCTAACATAGCCAAAGAGTTAGGGCAAACCCAGATAACAACCTTCTCATGGTGTGGTGGTACAAACATCAAATAAACAGCAGATCATCCCATGTAGTGGGCAGAGTAAACGTGTGATATTCATGTACTATTGAGTTTGAACTAGAACGGCTTCTGGAAACCTTTGATATTGACATCTATCCACTAAGATCGGGCAGCAAACGCTTTTTGAACTCAATTGTCGCTACCGGGTTTGGCAAATATTGAGTCTCAGCGCGCAAGCTTTCAGGCCTACTTTGACCTTCCGCAAAGCGCATGTCGTAAGTCATGAGCAAATGCGCCATTATGGCTTTTATCTCTTGTGCAGCAAAGAAGCGTCCTGGACACGCGTGCCGCCCATACCCGAAGCTCAGCGATGCCGGGTTTGACGCGACGTACTGTGCTCGACCATCCAGCTCTGGCTGCTTCTCTCTCAAGCTGCTGAACCGGAATGCGTCAAAAGTTTCGGGTTCAGGATAAACAGACCCATCCATGGTTATTGCCTGTGTTGGAATCCCGATGGTCGTATGAGCGGGAATAGTGAAACCGGACGACAGCTTGAATGGTCGATGGACTACACGTTCGAAGGTGACTGCGATTTAATTAATCAACAAGTAATGAAAATGAGGAGGGATGGTCTTACTCAGAAGAAGAGGGTTGAATCGTTGACTCTCTTTCATAAAGCTGTCCATCTTGTTCATTTTTAAGAAACCAGACTTGTCGATAAAACCATCCGATCCGGTGCAATTGATTACCTCTTGTCGCAACGGTTCAATTATCTCGGGTCGCTCGCACAAATCGTAGATGAGTTGTGCAGGCGCAGCAGCGCTTGTGTGTATCGCAGCAAAGCTGACCTTCAGAAGAATGCTTGCGAGGAACTTCAGGTCTGTTTCCTCGCCTTTGGCTTGCTCGGCCATCCAGTAGAGCAAGTCCATTGCTTTCTCTCCGGTCCGCTGACGAGCTTCAAGCAGCGGGATAGCTGCAGCTTCGGCGGCAGCATAGTGATTCGCAATATTCTGAATCTCGGGGATGAATCGTGCTACAACTGGCTTCAAGAACTCGGGATACTTCTTTAGCTTTTGAGCTCCGATAAAACCGTCGATAGCGAACTGAATAGATGACTGGACCCATTCCTTGTTGTGCGACAATGTTGTTCCCCCAAACATGCAGCTGGAAACCCTCGCCACAATTTGGGTGAGGACCTCCACAACGGGGACGGGGGTCCATTCTATGCCAGTCAGATCTCAAGACAGGATGTCGAGTTTGTAAAACGTACCATCGCAGGTAGGAAATGTGTCACTGAATGCGTCTACAATTTCTCTTTGAACAGCAGGCATCACATCCGCTATTACTGCTTCAGCAAATTTATATCGTTGCTTGGCTGAGAGGCATACATACCAAGGTGATGGTTCAACTGTGCCTTGACAACACGAGGGTGGAGTGTAGATCGGCTTCCCATTGTAGTGTACTTGCCCTCAAACATCTAATGTTTTTATCAGTACTGGAGAACGCACTCATTCACCATTTTGTTGGATCTTACTTCGATGAAAGTAGCCACAAAGTCGACATGGTCAATTGGAGCAGTCTTGAGCTCTTCAAGATACTTGGTAGGTATCATCAAACGCTCTCCAAGTGGGCTTGGTACATAGAAGAATCCATCCCCGGACTGTGAAGTATTAGAGGTCTGCTACGTAGAAGCAAGTACAGGCTGCATACAATCTTGTAACCCTGCTCGAGCATCTCTTTGGCATTTTCTCGAAATCGCTCCCTGTTTTGTTGTATGCTCTTCTTGTCATTCCCGCCAACAACTAAAACGCCGGGAGCCAGAATTTGCTTCTCAGACTGAAAGTTGTGATAGAATATCAAACTCAGGCCACCGATGACGATCAGCGATGCCAGCGCCCATAACGGTGATCGAATGACATCAATATGCACCAATGCTGGTAACAGCAAAGACTCCGTGTCGAACAAGGATCCCATACTGAGACTTCGGCTGAAGATAGCGATGCAATGTTGGCGAGGACTCGGGAGGATGCGTGAAAGGGGAGAAAGTTCCCTTCGAGGTGCAGGCAGCCGACTTTGACAGTTTGACAACTGAGCTTCATGAGACGAAGTTTGCCATTCAGAGTGCCTTAGTTTATCTTCGGCGATAGCCAGTTTAGCAGAATTTCACCGTTTCATTCCTAAAGCGCTGTTGACCGAGCGCACCATTTCCGTATTAGGCAACTCGCCGACGCACCAATTGATGATGATACATGAAGTTGAATAACTTTAACGGTTCCGCACACTGCATCATCGAAAAGTTTTTTCTCACACAAGGAAAAGAATACCACAAATCATCGTTATCATGGGAGAACCGATTCGCGACGAGCCACTCACCACCACTGTCACTCCGGCCAAGAGGTCGTTGGAGATCGACGACCCCTTTCAACCTTACAAGGTTGAGAGATTTGACGATGGGCTAAGATACGATACGCTCCAGGTCCATGCAGGCCACCGACCAGACCGAGAGACGCATGCTCGGGCAGTGCCGATTTACAACAGCGTGGTGAGTGGAGGTGTGTCAAATCTTCACCCGACGTGAAATTGCTGACAGTCTTCTATCAAGTCCTTTATCTTCACCGACAGCGCCCATGCTAAAAGGGTGTGTGCTATGGAGGGTGCTGGCTACTTTTACAGCAGAATTTCCAACGTGAGAAGTCTCCGAGAGCATATTGCTAGGTTCAACGGCTTACATATTCCGCTTTAGCCAACAGTCGCTGTTTTTGAAAAGAGAGCCGCGGCTCTTGAAGGTGGAACTGCTGCTGTTGCCACCGCATCCGGACAGGCCGCAATCTTCAACACCATTATCTGTCTTGCTGGAGCTGGTGACAATGTAGTCGCCTCAATCAACCTGTACGGAGGCACTTACAGTTTGTTCAAGACCCTTCTACCTCGCCTCGGCATCTCAATCAGGTGGGCCAAAAAAGAAACTCGCGAGGAGTTTGAAAAGCACATCGACGACAAGACCAAGATGCTATTTGTCGAGACTATCGGAAACCCTCGTTGCAGCATTCCCGACCTGAAAGAGCTAGGAGAGCTTGCACATGAAAATAACGTGCCGTTCGTTGTAAGTAGCTTGCCCAGACATGATGATGTGACCTTCATACCTGACCCTCCGTTCAGGTGGACAACACCTTTGGTGCTTGCGGTATCTGGTGCAAGCCTATCGACTTCGGAGCAGACATCATTTTGCACTCAGCCACTAAGTGGATGGGTGGACACGGCACAACGGTTGGAGGTGTCATCATCGACTGTGGCACTTTCGACTGGGGCAAAGCGGGTGAAAGGTTCCCACGAATGATCAAGAAGGAAGGTCCTATGAGCTTCTCCTACTGGAAAGCTTTCGGAAATATCACGTTCGCCATGGCCATGAGAATCGATATCCTGATGGAAGTCGGATCCACTTTGGCTCCTGCATCAGCTCAACAACTCCTCATTGGAATGGAGACGCTCAGTTTGAGGTGCGAGAAACACGCGAAGAACACAATTGAGATTGCTCGCTTCCTGGAAGCACACCCTAGAGTTGCCTGGGTCAACTATCCTGGTAAGCATACAATGTCAACGACGGCAGCAAACGCCACGGTCTTGAAGTTCTGGCTTATCTAACCACGCTTGTAGGCCTCGAGAAGAATCAATATTACGAGAATGCGCAAAAGTACTTGAAGAACGGTTACGGAGGCGTTCTCGCGTTTGGTCCGAAGGGTGGAGACGTCGCCAGCAAGATGCTGATGAACTACGTGAGAGTCATCTCACACCAAACAAAGTAAGTCTCGAACCGTCGGACTGGTTGACACAAATGCTAACATTCTGGCCAGTGTGGGAGATTCGAAGACGCTAGCCACTCATCCCTGGAACTCCACCCATGTTATCATGCCCGAGAAGGACAGGCGTGAAGCCGGAATTACGCCCGTGAGTGCTTAGTTCTGACTGTGAAGAAGAATTGCTAACTCCGTCACGCATAGGCTTTCATCCGATTTTCGGTTGGAACTGAGGATGTCAGAGACATCATTGAGGATCTTGACCAAGCTCTAGCGAAATTGCCCGACGACATTGTCAATGCTCATGATGAAAAGCTGGAGGCCAAATTGACTTCCAATGGGGACCATCCGACTGTTATTGAAGCGGCTGTGTGCGAGAAGGTTGACTTCACTGATGCGGATGTGTCACTGTCCAAGCAGAACGTCCCGATGGGTCGTCAAACTGATGTCGGGAACTGGTAGGCTCGCAAGGATTGAGAGGAACGTTTAATCGGAAGAATAGGAATCCAGCATAGCCCATTTGCGATCTGTAGCTACAGGAACTGTCATTTTTATGAATAAAAAGAGTCATGCAATCAATAAATGCGTCCAGAAACACACGGAGGGACTCTCTGTGTGTCACTACTGCTGGAGTTAAGGTGCGCAATTCAAATGTTTCGGGTAATCTGTTATGCTTCGTAAACTGCTCCATCAAGCATCAATCAACTCACTTGTGAAGTGAAGCCCGGTTAACAGCGGTACAATTGTGAACGGAAAATAAAGCTTGGGATAACAGGAGTAACTACGAGTGATGCATAATATCGGAAGTATAGAAATGGTAGGCCGACTTGTAAAGACCTGATGTCAAATTTAGAGGAGATATGAGGGGAACTGCCTTGTCTTGATTGGCCGATGCATGCGACTGAGATGGAATCTCAGTTTTCATAGATGGAGCCGAAACCCTTCAACGCTAAGATTCAATTTGATGAAATGCTGTGCATACTATGGAATCGCTATGAAATGCGTCTATCTCAAAATCATGCTGACCGTTGACGTTGCATCAAACAGAATGGTATCTCGGAGTCGTCTCGCTCCATGCCTCATTACCACTCATTTGGTATTCCAAACCCTTCATGAATGACTGCAAATTCTTGCTGCAGGGCTGCAGACTCCGTCTTCTTTCCACGAGCTCTTCATGAACTAGCTCCCACTCACGGCACATGGTCCACAACACCCTCTTCGATGCTTTGTAGTCCAAGCTGGTCTCAGAAGATAGGACCGACACAGAAGAGCAAAGAGCCGAGCCTTCTTGGTGACCTGTCTGAGATGCTTTCAGTTCCTTCTCCCAGCTGTAGATGTCGTTAACAACAGAAATATGCTTGGAGCAGTTCATCTCGATATCATGGACGGTATTGAGCTCTTCTGCAGTGAGATCCAGCTTCATACTGAAACGCATCAATGCGGACAACAGCCTTCAATCTGTTAGCCGCGGGTAAAGAGAATACGTCTTGAGTGGGGTGGACCAACGCTTTGCCCACATCTCTTTCTCGGTACCTGAGATACTCCCCCAACTCCTGGATGGACAGACGAGATTTGTCTGTCTGAGCTCGCATGAAAGTAAAGACTGGTTCCAAGATCTCTTCTGCTAGAGCCTTATCGCAGGATCGCATGTCGTTCCACAGGTCGTATGTGATCCACTCTACGGGAACGTTGCGGTCAGGTTGCGTGTCGCCTTTTGACAAGAGGATCAGCCGTTCGTTATACGCCGACCCATCTTCCAGTGACATATCCTCAAGCAAATCTTGGATACGTTAGCTTATTACCATCCACTTGTAATGGATACACGAGAAAGATCGGGTATCCCACATCAGGTAGTGATACTTACCATCGATCAAGAACAGCAAGGTCAACAGCCGGCAAGCAAAGCCTATTCTGTCGTCAAGGGCAACAGGATAGTAGAAGCAGGTTACTCGAGAGAAGCCTGCAGCGATGAACTTCTTGCGCGCTTTGTCGTTCTCGAAAGGCCAGTGCTCTAAGAAGAAACCGTTTACTTCGGCAGAGATCTGGGGCTCTAGTCGATGAATATTGGCGGAAAATCGAGACACTGAATTTGAACTGGTCGGACTGTACTCTCTGCTAATCCTTTCGTCCGAGTTCCATTGTACCTTCGGCGATGACGTTGTAAGAGGGAAGATGAGGGAAGCGAGCGCATGAAGGGAGAACATTGGGACGATGTTTGATACAGCGGACTGTTCCCGCTGTCAAAGATATCAAGTACTTCGTGACGTAGCCAAGATCAGGTTGAGCATCAGTGAAATTCGATGACTGGTGGTGATTTAAGTTTGATTCTACTCAAGGTTTTACTTGAGACGAATTTCGACCTCTGGACCCGACTGCTCAGGAACCCCTGCCCCATCACTCATCTGATGGGGGAATGCTCCGGCAATGTCAAACTCGGAACCTCCCAAACAGGAAAATCGCCGCGTCAAGCAAACCCCAAGACTCCCATGACAATGGCCAACGGCTACAAGAATAGCAGAACAATGGTTGGAATGAGGGGAAGATAAGGAGACTAAGCTCGCAAACTGCCAATCCCAGTAAGTCAAAAAGCGGTTTGTAGCCTCTCAACTTCATCGCCATACCTAACAGCGGAAAAGTTGAAGAACAATGAATCAAGCCAACAGAGAAAGTGTAAAACCTGCATCTCCCATAATTCCGCAATCTTAACGCCATGTTCTCAAATGATACGTAAGCTTAATCGTTATTCGCGGAAAATGTCCAGGAAAATAACCTCCACCCCCACTGGCCTGGGACTATGCTAAAGCTTCGGTCTGAAGTCTGTCGCAGCTTGCTGTGACCTAGTCTCTTGCAAGTTCTTCTCGCCAAACCATAACGTCCGACAGTCGGATATGGGCCCTTCCAACTCTGTATATCTTTCTCCCAAAGTTAGGATTGTTCTCCCGTTCCAACGACCGGCGGAGCTCTCCCATGAAGCAGTGTCTTGCCCGTATCCCTGGACCTTCTTTGACTCCGTTGCAAGTGCCGAATACGCAACTGCAACTCCTACGAAATGGGCTGAACTGACCGGAAGACCAGCAGCTATGATTGGTGCGGCCAAGTCCGCTGGAAGTAGCTTAGTGATTGTTGCGGCAGGTGCAACCGTGTTGATAGTGACCCCACTATCTCGAAGCGTAGAGCGCATGGCGCGCATGAAATTGACCAACTGCATCCATCAGTGAGATTTCTTCAAAGCCTCACATAGCACTGTTCTTACCGCTGCTTTTGTGCCACTGTACACCGGTAGTGATTGCTCGGCCGAGTATGCAGTCGCGCTCGACGTCAGAACGATGCTTCCTTTCGTCTGATTGGATCTCATGTTATGCAGTGCCAGCTTGACAAAGTTCAAAGTTCCACGGAGGTTTACGTCAATAACATCGTAGTTCGGTTCGAGCAAGTTGCCCTGGGCGTCGAAAGAGTCGGTGAGGTATGTACCATCTTCACTCTGCCCAGCATTTGCAACAGCGATGTGAATGACACCAACATCGGCAAACGCATCGCGCAGATCAGACCACTGGCTGATATCGCACTTGCGAAAACAAATTGTTGACGGCAACGTCTCCTCAGGCTCCGAGATGTCAAGGATAACAACATCGGCACCCTTAGTTGCCAAGACTTTGGCTGTGGCCAACCCGATCCCAGATGCCCCTCCTTTAACAAACAAGTCAGGAAAGCTGCAGGCTCAGACAACGTTCTGCGATTGCTTACCTGTGATAAGGGCCTTTCTGCCGCTCTGCAGCGGAATATCCTCTTCCTTGATTGATAAGGTAGCCATTGTGGAGTAAGTGTGGACAGGGGCGTCTGCTGGTCTCGGTATCCCAGTCATTCCCTCACGATGCGGGCACTGACAGAGACTTATTTGACGGTCGCTACTTCGTGCGGATGTTTTTCCGTGATCGGCGTCTGCCCTGCCAGTTCTGCTTCCGAGTTTGTATGTCGTGTAACCAAACACCGAACCGATCGGCCGGCTGGTGCCGGAGCCAAACATCTGCACGGAGCGCCAGGGACACGGAGTATTACCGTTTTGGGATAAAGTATCCTCCGTCCTTTGTTCCTCATACCAGGGTCTGTTTGCCAGAACTCCGAGCTCTAGAGGTCATTTGGTCGGACACGCAAACCCTGGAACAGCCAATTAAGAAGTCGCTATTACTTTTGCGGTGAGCCTAAACACCGGCCTACTTCTCATGCCAGCAAGATCCAGCATGCTATGACCTTGGAAGCATCGTTGTGAATTTTGAAACATTTGGTGAACGATTTAATCCAGCTAATGATGGAAGTTTCGAACTATTCAGTGCCCACGACGTTGTTGTGGGCATTTGCTTTCGTACGTGTTAATCGCGACAGAAGCCTTGGTGGTAGCTATCTTTACTTACGCCACCAGATATGCGCTAGTTTCACTCTGCTGAAATGGAGGGGTATTCAGCGACATCCTTTGGCTCGATTCCCAGGACCCTTCACAGCAAAGTTCAGCGATGTAAGTTGGAGATATGCGTTGGCGTGTTCGTGAAGATACCCAGCTGACAGGATTTGTCTTGGAGTTCTCTCACTGTCGTAGATTTCTAGGTGGACGGCAGCCCTATGAAATGCTGAAGCTACATCAAAAATATGGTATGCTTTCTATGGTGTATTGCAAACTGGCAATGGCTGATGATACGACACGAACCAGGCCCCGTTGTGAGAGTTGCGCCCAATGAACTGTCATTCAACACAGCTCAGTCCTGGAAAGACATCTATGACAAAAGGAAAGGCCATAGCCCGTTCATCAAGAGCGACTTTTATGACGGCGGGAACTTCGCTGCTGAAGCACACTCGATAGTCAGTGTGCGAGACCCTGACGAACATGCACAGATGCGTCGATATCTCCGCGACGCCTTTTCGGATCGTTCACTCAGGGAGCAAGAGTACCTCATTAGCCAAGTGATCGATCACTTCATCGACCGTATTGGAGAGGAGGGAGGCAAGCCTGACGGTATTGATATCGTCATGTGGTTCAACTTGACAACATTCGATATTATTGGTAGTCTTGCTTTCGGTCAATCTTTCGGCGGAGTCTCTTCAGGTTTGTTAGCCTCGTATTTCGGTCACTTTATCTGATGCAAATACTAACCTTTCTCGCCCCTAATCGTAGGGGAGGAACATCCTTGGGTCTCCATTGTGGTTAAAAGTCTCAGAATGGGAGCAATGGCCGACTGCTTCAAAAGATTTCCTTCAGTTGGAGCAGTCTTTCAGAAGATGTTTCCGAGTCTTTTGACGAAGCTAATCGAGGACACGCGAAAACACGAGGCTTACACTATGGAACTGGTTCAAAAGTACGTTGCACACAGATCACATGGCAAGAGCTAATTAGTGATCTAATTGCATTGTGAGCACAGGCGAATCAACCAGCAAAGTGACCGAAAAGACTTCCTCACAAAGATCTTGGAATATCGGCAGACAGACAATCTTTCCGACGTTCAGATTGCAGCGCATTCGTCGGACTTTGTGTAAGTGTTTTTAATCTGTTACTCGACACAAAACCACTGATAAAGAGGCAGAATCGCGGGAAGTGAGACAGCTGCGACGGCATTGTCGTGCATCACTTACTACCTTCATCACAACTCCAGCATCCTTGAACAACTCCGCCAGGAAATCCGCACTTCATTCAAAGCTTACGACGAGATTAATGACGCTTCAACCACGGGGCTAAAGTTATTGAATGCCATCATACTGGAGGGAATGCGGATGTACCCTCCACTCCCGTTCCCTCTCCCTCGGGTTGTTCCTCAAGGGGGGGATACAGTTGACGGGCATTTTATTCCTGCAGGCGTAAGTGAAATCTCATTTAATAATAGAGGTGAAACATTTCTCATAGTGTTTGCCCTCGCAGACTATTGTGTCAACCAATCCTTTCGCTGCATCAATGTCACCGGAACATTTTCATGAGCCCTGGGCCTTCAACCCTGAGAGATGGATGAACTCAAACAAAGAGGATATCCTCGAAGCGAGCCAGCCCTTCTCACTTGGAACCAGGAACTGTCTAGGGAAAAGGTAAGAGCTGAAATGTTTATTGTATTCACTAGTCCAAGCTCACTAACTGACATTTCCTTTACAACCAAAGTCTTGGATGGATGGAGCTTCGTACTGTACTCGCCAAAATGCATTTCAAGTACGATCTGGAGTTGTTGGATCCCAGCATGGACTGGCATGCGTCGTCACAGATGCACACTCTTTGGCAAAAGCCAACTATGAAGGTCACTGTTCAGCCTGTGGCTCACTAAGGCATAGGATTTGAAAACACCTCGCAAGTTTGAAGGCGTAGATAGAGATATCTTCAACATCAATTATACCCAGATACACGACGTCTTTGCCTATCTAGTACTGATGCTTTTTCAAAAAATGAAAGATGCGGGTCGCTACAAAGCAGTATGGCAATTCCTGGTTTCGGCGAAAGCTCCCTAAGTTCTCGTAGCCGCCAGCCACTCATCGGACAGTAATCGTCTGACTCTCGGCATCCTTCTCGGGATCCCAGTGACCCACGTATCCATCTCTTCCAGTAAGATATGTCCCTTTAGCCTGTTCTTCCGCTGAAGCACGGAAGACAGCATGTTTCTTGTTTGTCCAGTCAAGGCCCTTCCACACAATGCCTTCCGCGTCAACAAATTCAGCATCCATTTCAGGCCGCAGAAGATAGACGATGGAGTACTTGTGTCGTCCCATCTCATCTTTGTGAGGAATGATGCGATGCAGACTTGACTCCAGCACGCCTCCGGAGATGAAGCGCAGCGCATCTCCGACATTGACCACCGCGTGGCCGGGCTTAGGTGCAATGTAATACCACGTCTCTTCATTGGGCTTCAGAACCTGCAAACCCGCAACTTCGGTGAAGACAATCGAAAGGCTGCCAGCATCGGAGTGCGCGATCTGTCCCACCTTGTCGTTCTCCACCTCAGCAAGCGTGTATTTGAGCAGGCCGAGGGCTGTAGGGCAAACTGCATTTTTCCGGTGGTACTGCTGGTACGCCAGATTGTCTTTCAACCCCAAGGCTTCGGAAATTCGAGTGAGTAGAAGAATGCTCATTTCGCGGAAGCTCGACATAGCTTGTTTGAGTGGGTCAAGCTCATTGGCAATCACCTCCGGTCCAGGGAAAGACGAGGGATCGTCAATCTTAGAAATAGGATGCTCGAACAGCTACGCAAGGTCAACTTCTGAAGGCGATGTACCAAAAGCTTAGTGCAGCTCACCATCAAGCCCTCAAAGCCATCCTTCTTCCCCTCCACTGGTCCGTTTCCATGACCGGCAGGCTTGTATCTAGAGAAAATAAAAAGAGTGGGTTAGTCGATTATGTGTTTTGTTCAGATGCTCGACGGTTATTCGTACCCCATAACCAAGTGCTCATCGTGATCTCTGTCAACAAGCCATTTCGACTTTTCTTCTTGGGGAAGATCGTAGAAGCTCGTCGCAAGCGTGTACATGTCTTGAACTTCCTTCATGATCCTGCCTGAAGCAACATTGCGACAGTCGAGGTAGAAGAAGCCAAGGTCTGTGCATGCTTTCAAGAGGTCTTCCTTGACGGATGCATCTCCATCCATGAGCTTCTGGAGAGATACAACTCTCAGGTCTGCGTCCTCCTTAGCGACCTTTTCGGTGGGTGGAATCTGTGCAGACATGCTGGCGGTATAGACGTTCAAGATTGCAATGACTCAGATGAAGTGTTACTGAAAATTGCGACGACTTCTTCACCGGCAGAAACGACGTCAGAAACACGGCCAGGTCATATCTGCGTTGCCAAAGCTCAAGGGTGCCATGTTCATTGGTGGTGTGTACCAATCGCGTTGACCTTTGCGGGTTTCGGTATTTTCCCCTTTTAGGAAACACCGCAGAGTCACACTGCCAGTATTGCGAATCCGGCTACAATCGCACCCTAACCATCATATCGAGAATACTTTGATCTTTCCAATCTGCTATGCGGTGAGGTGCAATGTGAGATTTATGCCAATAAAATATTATCTCGCGACCCGTTCGAACCTTATGTTCAGCGATGGCTTCCACCACATCACATGCATGTGACTTTCCTTCAGCCAATCCAGATCTTCATTCACCAGGTGCAAATTGTATGCGTAATGCATTTTTGCCAAAATGAGATTAATCTCAACAAATGCAAAGCTAGGTTGCCGCAAAAGTCAGTCAACTACTGTCATCGGCGAGCGCGATCCTGGCCTTGATGGCTGCCACTTACTTCTTCCCCAAACACCCGCGAGGTCCCAGTGAGAACGGCTGGCTGGCTTCGAGGTTGTCTACACGATTCGTGCCAATCCACCTCTCCGGTATGAAGTCATATGGCCTGTGGAAATTTTGCTCATCGTGTGTCACTGTCCATGCACTTGTGTACACTTCGGTCTTTTGATTGCAAGAAGTTAGCGAAGCTGGCACAAGATTTGATTGTATGAAACTCACTCCTTTTGGAACCCAATGGCCGTCGATAGTTGAGCCAGGACAAGTCCGAGGAAAACCTTGCGATCCAGGCGGGTACATTCGGAGGCCCTCCGAAATTACCGCCTGTAAATATGGCAACTGCTGGGCGGACATGGCAGTGATCTCGTTCAGCGAGCTGTAGTTACTGCGAATCTCATGCTGGAGTTTGAGGTATGTCGCAGGGTTTTTGAGGAGGAGGAATGTTACTGCCGCTAGGAATGTCGCGACCGTCTCCCCTCCAGCAATACTTCGACCGTTGTCAGCCTGAATGTGCTCATCAAGTTGGAAACCCTGAAGACTCACACCAACGTTGACGCGTGAGCGGTCATCTCCTCTTGAGAGACTTCTCCACTCTTTACCTTCTCCGATACATTTGTCAAAAAGTCGTGCCTCCCAGAATCACTTTGAAGCCGCCTTGAAACCATTGAGTGAGTCTGGCGTCGAGGTAAAAGAGTGTGGTAACTCTACCTTTCAACTTTGGTACGGCTGTAGCCTGAGTGACGATCCCGAACGGATACGGTCAGACGAGGAAGCAGTCTTCTCCCAAGAGCGTCCAAAATGGGGTATCGGCGAAGGTTGTCGAGAACTGTGACGAAGAACAGATGTTCCACAATCATATCAGACCAGAAATGAGACTTCCCTAAATGACTGTGTCAGCAAACAATGGAATAAACTACGGCGAATGAAGTCCAGTCATTACCCGTCTCTATGCAGTGGAAGCTCTCTCCAAACGCCATTTCTCCAAGAATATCGAACGCAACCATCTCAAACCACTTAGTCATGTCTAAACCCCGTTCAGATGTCCCATTGGACTCGAGTCGAGCAATAAAGCCATCGACAACGCTATGGACTATGCTCTCTTGCTGTGCAAGTGCTTTGGTTGAAAAGGACGCCGACAGGTTCTTCTTCATCTGCGAATGCTTTTTCGGGTCCCTCTCACTACCGACACAAAGAGATTCAAAACCGGATCCGTACATATCATAGAATTCGCTCTTCGTCATGGTCTGCTTTCCCCCTACTGCGTGGCCATAGATATCTTTCCATGACTGCACCGAAGCAAAGGATAGCTCGTTTGGAGAAATTCTGACCACAGGACCTGTAAATCATTAGTAGCATTCCACAGTTTACATTTTCAAGGCGCAGGTAGTTACCCAAACGTTCATGCTGCTTCTGAATTGCCAGGTGAAAATGACCACTCATGGAATGACGGATTCGCCAAAGCTTGACCTTCGTGTTAGCTCACACAGAAGCCCTCTCATTTGTCTAGGACGCACTAAAGATGCCCTTGCCCAGAAAGGGCCAGGAAAGGCAGCCAACGGGTGAAGAAACACGTTGTAAATGACATGATAAGTCGCGTATAACACAGTCTGTCATTTGCTTAGAGTTGTCAAATGTGACATTGAAAACGGATGGTAACTTACACATAGCAGAGCAGCGACCCACATAACATGGATGGTTTCGATATTGTACCCGAAGGGTACTATGTTTCTTGTAACAGCCATGATGTGAAACTGGTCGTAGGAGTCTACGATCTTCGAGGCACCTGAATGCAATGACCCAGAGAAACATGGACCAGTCTTGCAATATCTTCTAGAATCACGGTCCGTGGTTGAGACTTGGGCAGAAGCCCCTGCGGTGTTTATCCAAAACAGGCATCAGTCCGAGCCCGGCTCCACCTCAACGCCGGAGCGCCGGTCATTCGGAGTTTCGATACCGGCAGTGCACTGGCAGTACTGGTGATGCGTGCGCCAATCAAGAGCAAATTGGTATTCTATTGGTATCAATGAGCTAATTTATGCCCTGCTAACATCTCCCTCGTGGAAAACCAGCGCTCTCACTTCAATGCTATGTCTCGGCTCTCGATCCTCCATTTCGGGATCTGTAAATGCTGCATGTGGAACCCTTCTCGCCCGCCCATCCGTCTTCCAGTCGTAGCACTTGATGAACATGACCTCCTCTGGCGTCTGCTGGCTTTTGTAGTACCACCTATGCGCCTTGTTCGGCAAAATTGTACACGGTTCTCCCACCCAATCGGGATAAATCAACTTGACCGGAACAATATCTTTGTCTGGCACCGAGTGAGAGTCGCAAACCGCAAGAGGGTCCTTGTAGATGATTTTAATCGGCCTCCAAACATTGATGAGTTGGAATCGGGACTTCAAAAGTCTCGGGCCGTCTTCTCCCAGATGTCGTCTGACCTGATTTTCCGACGCCCATTCAGATTGGTCGATATGGGCGCGCTTGACGGGCCGTCTTTCGTCGTCCGAGCTAGCAGCTGTGGGATTCGGTCTTCGGATTGTGTGATCAAAGATGCAAATACGGCTCGCTCCAGTGCTAGACGGTGTTAGTACACTTTCTACGAGAATACGTTGATAGAGTGCTTACACTTCAAAGAGTAGTTGTTCTATCTCTGGATAATACAGATCCTTGATTTTCTGGTCGTCGATAAACTCTTTCTCTTGGCTGACATGGCGATGTAGTTGGAAGCCATGGCTGTCGAGCGTGTATTTGTCTTCGCTTCCAGTGATGTCGGCCACGACAGTCTCAAAGTCGATAGATGGATGGACAAAGGTGCTTCTCTTCCCCGCGATGCTAGGTGCATGCTCAGTCCCATCTCCGGGGTCCTGGTAGTAGTTGATCGTGGTCCGGACGTTGCGTGGGACACCCGATGACGATTGTGCTACCTTTTCATCGGAGGTTGCCATGACTGTCCGAGTCGCATCCCAGCAATCAGTGCAGCGCGAGATAACTTCAGTGGTAAAGTTTAAAAGTTTGACAGGAACTTAATTCTATTCTTCGGGAATGTAGGCAGAAGAAGGGAAGTACATAGGGGGCCTCCAGAAGATGGGACTTTGACGAAGGAAGCCCGATTAGGCAAGAGGCCGCTCCAATCATCGTAGCCCATCAGCCGGGACAACCTTGCACCTCATAGAAGACAGTCTGAAAGCCGCATGCACGGCACGCAGATAATCATCAGATGGCCTCATCCCGTCTCATAAGGACAATAGTCGACTCTTTCACACGTGGCACACGTGGCGGGCATGTATGGAGTCGTCACCTTCATTGCTCTCAAGCTCAATTTTCGAATCGACAGCTATGTCGATAGCAACTTTGAAAAGTCCCACGAGGTTTCGGAAATTTATGGAGGATTCCAAGTTCCCATAGCTTCTATGGCTACACACAAGATCATTTCATGGTCGGCCTAATGCTCCAATACAGCAGGAAGTGGTGTGCGATGTATTCACATCAAGCGTGCGATTGGTTCAATCTCATGATTACGCCCAGGTCTTGAAGACCGGATGTAGGATTGTCCGCTCGGATATTTCCGAGGTAATTGAGACGCAGGGAATTGGCGTGACATTTCCCCGCAACCTGCTTACCGCCTCACCAACGTCAAGTTTGTTGCGGCAAGAACGTCTTTTGGAGTTTTCTTGCGCCTCTGTGAAAATGGATACGTCAAGTCAATATGAGACGCCAAGAGCGTCCCCAGATACTCAAGGCAGAGTTATCATATCAGGAACACCAGTCTTAGAGAGCCGTATTATGTCTGAGGGTACCATCGAGCTTGGTGTCATCAATGTGCCTCCAGCAGAATCGAATGAGCTTGCGCAGCGATCAACCAAGACTGACATCGTCGATCAATCCTCGAGACTACCCTTTGGTCGCTTGATGTCCGCTTATATCTGCCTGGCAGCCATCTACTCCGTCCAAACACTCGACATCAACTCCGTCGCGACAGCGCTCCCAGCCATTGCTCGATCCCTTGGTGCAGGTAATAGCATCACATGGGCAGGAACAGCTTACCTCATGGGACAGACCGCCTTCCAATCTCTGTACGGACGCCTGTCTGATATCTTTGGCCGCAAACCCGTCTTGCTCGTGTGCGTTGGCTTTCTCGTGGGCGGCGATCTCCTTTGCGGCTTTGCTCGCACTCCGTTATGGCTGTATGTCTGCCGAGCGCTTAGCGGTGTCGGCGGCGGAGGAATAAGCTCACTGGTTCAGATCACAGTCAGCGATCTAGTCAGCTTGAAAGACCGTGGAAAGTATCAGGGCATGCTGAGCGCGTCAATAGGCCTCGGCGCCAGCACCGGTCCTTTCATCGCAGCCAGCATGTTACGCAAGGGCGAAACGGGCGGCGTTGAGGCTTGGAGATGGATATTTTGGGTTCCTCCTATCCTCGCCGCGGCGTGTGCAACAACCATCTGGCTTTGCCTTCCGCTAAAACCCGTCGCTGGAAGTTGGCGTGAGAAACTGGCCAAGATCGATTGGTACGGTCTGGGTGCCGCAATGGCAGGAGTACTTCTCCTATTGGTAATTGCTTTCCAGGTCACCTTGATTCACCAATGTCTGTGCTGATAAGCTGTAGATCCCTCTTAACTCAGGAGGAAGTATCTGGCCTTGGCACAGCGAGCATGTGATCACAATGCTCATTTTAGGTGGCTTCTTCTTCATCATATTCGCCGTCATTGAGAAGTCAGTGGCCAAAATACCGTTGATCCCGCTCCGTCTATTTGACAAGAGATCGACGGCAGTCATGTACGTTCAGAGCGCTTTGTATGACTACGTCTGGCAGGTAAACCTTTACTTTCTCCCCATCTATTTCCAGGAAGTCCGCGGGTACAGCCCGTTGAGGAGTGCGTCTCTTACTCTGCCTCTTCTGCTGATTCACAGTGCTGCTGGGGTGGCATCGGGTCCAATCATGAGTAAATCCGCGAGGTAGGAGATTTGAATTGAAAACACTTGAACGTGTTAACAACAAGCGCTTAGATACGCACCAATTTTATTCATCGGCATGGGTTTATGGACCCTCGGATCGGGTTTGAAACTCGTCTTTTCGCGCACGACTTCCATTAGTGTCTACGTAACGGTTCTTCTCATTGAAGGAACCGGAATAGGTTTCGTCCACCAGCCAGCCCTGGTGGCCCTCCAGGCACTCTCAAAGCCCGAGGATCGCGCTGTTGCGACTTCTACGAGAAATCTCATGCGTATGCTTGGATCCGTGGTCGGAATGGCTCTCTCAACGGCAGTTCAATACTCGGTAATGAAGTCAGCGCTGCCGGCAGATCTGCCTGAGTCTATTCGATCAAGTGTAACTGGCGGAACATGGCAGCGTGGAGATGTCGACTCTCATGGTTGGGAACAGGCAATTTTGGATGCCAAGATGAGGGGCGTCCACATGGTCTTCGTCATGCTTGTACCGCTGATGGTCCTTTGCCTTGGAGGATGCTGGTTTATCCCAAACGTTGCATTGATGGGTGATGAAGAACGTCGGGATACACAATCGGAGCAGAGACAGTAGGTCGGATGCGCAATGCATCGACTATTTAGATATGAAGGCATCTTCCGCCTCACGTTTGACAGATGGATAGTTGAGTCGCTAACAGTATCTGCTGGCATGATCGGCTCATGTTATTACCAATAATCTTCCTCTTAGATACCGCGCCCCTCTTTCGTTGATACCTGTACTAGTTTTTCGTTAATTCAGCCTGCCCTCAGGATCATGGGCGATATTTCGACAGTATTTCCTCTGGTCCGGACCTATGAGCTTTGGGAACCTCTGTTGGAATACTGCACAGCCCCTTATTCATTGAGACAAAAATAGCCGGAGTCCAATTTGTTTGAATCAGTTCATACAACTGACAGGCTCCTCCCAAACATCCCCTCTCCGACCACGAGACGTCGAAAAGGCACCATTGAACAATCGATGATTGGCTCTCAAGCGACGGCAGATGACACCTGTCAAAATATCCGGCCAGCTGTGTTGCAACCGTCTTGGCATGTGCCAATTTATAAATCTTCCAAATTCGTATTGCGATTTCCTATTACACGAATAACACCTTCTCCGCATTTTCCAAGACGGATGCGTGTTGCGCTCGATTTGGTTGAGCTCAATAGGCTAAATCTCCACAACTCGGCAGTTCGACAGCGCCCAGGTCGGTTTGCAGGAGGGGCTTCCGTTGGCGATTTCGAACGGCTTGATGGTGGTGAAGGTATGGAAAAGCGTTAATGGGACAATGAGAGGGACTGAGTGATGAGTTGGAACTATATAAGTGATCCCCATCACTGCCGATTTAGGACTGAAACCTTCGGACAGCAAGTTAAACACAACATACTCAATCACAGATATTCTCGCAATCAATCCCCAACATGAAGTACATTTTGGTTCTTTCTGTGGTTTCTGGCGCTCTTGCCTCTCTCAACTGCACGGCTACAGCAAATGTCAAGACGTACTGCTGCCCAGACGCCAACTCTGAGGTCGTCAAGACAGGTCCCGCAGGTGCCCTCATCATGATGGGCTGCGCAGCCGACAACACCAACAAGTTCGTCTCTCACTTGACGCCCATCATGGCTTTCTTGCTAAGGCGGACAGGAACTGGTACTGGAATTACAACGGCCTGTACACGGCTTATTCGACCCAGTTCAAGGACTGCTACCTGAACACTATCCCCTTCAACGACCTCAAGGGTAAGCCTCTCTTCTCCTCCGTCCTCTCTTCGAGGGAGGACATCTTGAATTCGGCGGTGGAAAAGCTGACCTGGGCGGCATGACAAAGTCCTTCCGGACTGCAAGGACGATACCTACGTGCTCGACCTCACTCGTGGCAAATCCGGGCCCCTTGACAAGTGCAACCCCAACTGTGTCAGCCAGAACAAGTTCCCTGCCAACACCTACTTTGGTGATCGACAGAAGGAGACCAACATGGCTTCGGACTTCCCGCGTCCGGGTGGGAGCGGTGGAGGATGGCCATGGAGGGGCAGGCAGCGACGGACTTGAGCTGCGGGAGCTGTTCCGTTAAGTCGGTGAGATGGAACTATAAGGCTTGGGGACACACTTGCTTCACGTTGGTATTTCCTTGTTATTGATAGGTTGAGCAAATCAATTATAGTCGATCCAGCAGACTTGCCTGCGTCTGATCCAAGTACTAGCATTAAAGAGGGTGAAGGTAAATATCCAATGAACGCCAGGTTTCCAGAAACAACGAAAAATCAAAAAGGTATCAAAAATAGGCCGTAACAGCATATCATCCGAAGCCTCCAGATCCAATCTATCCTCTCTTGTTATTTTGCCGCTGCCACGGCCGCTTGCGTCTGGGCGGGAGGTGCCGCTGCCACAGGAGGAGGTGGCGCAGCAGAACTCTCGCCTCCTTCGTGCCCGTGCCCGAAAAGCTTCTTGATACTCTTGGGGTCTTCGATGGCGTCCAGAGCCTTTTGCGTGGTGCTCTTGTGCCCATGCTCCCCCGCACCCTCCATTGAATCCAACTCGCTCTCGCCCGAGCTGAGAGAGCTGGAGCTGGGGCTGCGGTTGAGCACCATGTTCACCATTCTGCCCTCCTTCTTCTTGATCTCGACCTGCTCCTTCTTCATCTTCTGCAGCTTCTCGTCCTCGCAATGCATCACGACGATGCCCATGCCAGGGAAGTTGGCCTCGAGGAACTCCTTGAGCTTCGGGAGGATGGACTTGTCGGGTCGGTAGGTGCCGGAGTCGTTGTCGATGGTGAGCTGGTAGTGAGCGGGGTTGTGCGGGGGGTGGCCATTCGGAGGGCCGCCGGGCAGCTCGTCTGAGGGGTGTGTCTTCTCTTTAGGCTCGGGGTCCTCCGAGGCATCCGGCTTTTCGAGCCGGCGGACGAAGAACTCGCCTGAGCAGGCGATGTAGGTTTCAACGTCGCTGTGCATGGTGTGCTTGCTAAGCATGTCGATGCTGAATTCCTTTCCGGTTTCCGTGAAGCGGAACATGCCGTCGAGGGTCAAAACGTATGTGAAGATGCGGCCTCCTTCGTCGAAGTGGACCATCTTGAGGAACTGGAGAGCTGCCTCCTTGGATCGTGCTTTGAAGACGCCGTACTCGGTCGAGCTGTCGAAGTTGTAGACACGGTTGTGTTGCTTGTGCAAGGCCTTGTTGAGGATCCTGCCTCGCAAGCCACTCTTCGCGAACATGAGGCCGATCATGGGCCTGAACTCAACATAACGGTGGTAGAGCTCAGGTGGCACTGGACCTGAGAGCTGCATCTCATTCGATTGGAAGCTAGAGAGTTAGAAACCACGTCCGGCGATAGAACAGATGATGAACCTACTCGTATTTGGTCGTCTTCTTTTTGCCCTTGTTTTCGTCCTCATCGAAGAGTTGATCGGACCGAGCATCCTCGTTCTCATCCCTGTTGACCTTGACACCGGTGAGGCGTCCGATCATGGGACTGAAGTGCTTGAAGTAGCTCGTGGGGCCCACGGTGTACATCTGCGCGTGAGGAGGATTCGACTTTCCCAAGACTTCCATGCTAATCCATAGCCTCGGCGACATGTCTACGTTAGGGTCAAAGTGGCTGGTGATGGCCTTGAAGAAGTACGCGCGCTTGCTACCCATGCGCTTCTTCGCGATGAACTCTTGGCCAGGCTGCGGGTAGCCCTTCCAGTCCAATCCCACATACGGGACGCGGACAGTGACATTGCCGAGACGGTCATCGTGGTCGGGGTAATCTTCATCGTAGAGCCGGCACTTGATGATGAAACCATCGGAAGGAATGTTAGCGACAACCCACTCGTCGTTCCACACGGGCTCGGTCGTCGTTCTCTCCGTCTTTGTGCGATGCGTCAGGTCTGGGTCCTCTTTGTGGCGCTTGGGGACAGCTGCCTTGAGTGTGACGTGGATGTAGGGGTCCGACGATCTAGTGCCCAGGTCTGCAGCAGGCAGGTTCGAGGCTTTGTGGAAGATGAATCGCACGGTGTACCCGGGAGGCGCATCTGGGAGGGGGGTCTTGTCGAAGCCGCCAGAAGGTTGGGTCTTGTCCTTGACCTTCTCTTTGCTCTCGGCATAGAGTTCCTTAAGATTGCTGGAGCGATGATGCGGCTTCTCGTGGGGGGTCTTATGACCGTCAGCATTGGGATTCTGCTTACTCTCGATTCTGTCCTCGAGAGCCCCCTCCTTCTGTCGCGGCAACCCGTCCCCTTGAGTTGAGGGCCCACCGTTTGCTGACGGGTCATTGCCCTCAGTAGCTATTGCAGACGGTCCGGCTGCTTCCAGAGACGTGCCGTCCAATGCGGTGCCATTTGCCGCATGGCCGTTGGCGTCTGTCGCGTCCGAAGTGCCATTCGGTAGATGGCCGTTCGTCGTCGGGCTGTCGGTTGCTGAGCCATTCGGCGCATAGCCGTTCGGAGCATGACCGTCCGGCTGTTGCTCAGGAGCCTGAGCCGACACGCGAGGCTCACTGCTCTGCTCAAGAGGTGCGGTCGCATTAGAGATGCCGGGCCCATCAGACGGGCCGTCAGAGTGTGGATGCCCGTTGGGCCTTTGCTCTTCCGCGGCCGACATTTTCCGCTGACAGCGAGAGGCGATGGGGGCGGAAATAAGCTTGTTTGGTTTCCGAGGTCAAAGCAGGCGTCGTGGCTGATGCGTGTTGTCTCTCAAGATCGGGCGCCAAAACAGATGGCTTGAAGAGGACCCTGGCGGTTGGCTAGACTGGCGAGATCTGAAGAAAAAGCCGATGGTCGAAGGGGAAAAAATAGATAGCGGCGGGAGATCCTGTAGAGACCCTGCAGTGCAGCGCTGTCGTGGCCGTTGCCAAGACCGCAGATCGGTTCTGGGGGTGGTAACCTTGCTGGGCTGGGAATGCCGCGTGCCAATGATGTCTTCAGTGGACCAGAAAGCTTGGCATCTGGCCCGTGTTTTCCGCTTTCAGGGAGCTGGCTGATAAGATGAGGGGAGCTGTGGCTTAATTGTGCGACGGACAAAACCTAGAAGCAAGTGATTCAGTGGCGGGCGTTTGTCTGGCAGTAAGGATGATTCGTCTTTGAAGTAAGGTCTCCAATGTCAACAGTGACGTGGTTGTAGGACGGTAAGGTAAGATGAGAAAAGATTGCAGAGATTGCATCTACCTAAAAGAAGAGGCGCGTGTTGGCTGGGGAGGCAACCAGGGGGGGTAAGAGAGATGATAGGTGAGGGGCTGGAAGCAGAGGTGAGGGGAGGGGGGGTCTAAGGTTATCACAGGCCGGCTAGCAGTCAGCCAGCCAGCTGAGAGAAAAGAAGAAAAAGCCCGCGACACACAGAGAGCACCTCAGAAAAAAAGAGCCCAAGCTCGCGATCAACAAAGCGTCGCAAGCACCATCCAGCTGTCATTGGAAACTGACGTCATTTGGACAAGATTCGGTGGTAAGGTGCGGCTAGAACGTGCCGAAGCCGGGGTTAGCTTGTCATCTTGGCTGCTACATGGCCCATTGGTCCCTGCTAAGCCTGCTTGGCCGCAGCTGACCGGTTTTATCCGACTTGCCTTCACATCAGCACATGTTTCACCATCACGAGCCTTCCAACCTTGCATGTTGGTTGCCTGTACGTAAAATCTTATGTGGAGAGACACCTGCATTCTGGAAGCCGAGGGGCCCGTCTTCCAAGACCAGACCGCCCATTACTAGGCAGTTAGGTTATGTCTTGCCCGTTTAGGATGGTGGGGCACATGGACGCCTCCGATTGTTCTGCAGGATCCGAGAGACCGGCCATTCGCTCCGTGTCTCGGCAAAGACCCACCGCCATTCCGGACTGCCTCCGGCCCGGTCCGGAAGCTTCTGTTGGCGGCCTGTTGGCCAAGAATCAGTGAAAGATGTGCGATGATTTCTACTACCAAAATCCCACATCGCCCATCAAGGCTTCCGATGACACGGACAACGTAAAGAGTAAGTCCTTAGGCAACAGAGAGTGGTAATTGCCTGGATGTAATGTATCATAGACGATAAGCTGTAAGTCCCTGGACTGAGAGACGAAATATGTTGCTTCATTGTTTCAGATAATCGATTCAATTTCCAAGGACAGTGGAAATGCCTCGTTTCTTCCAAGCTTTGCCGGAAGATAAACACATACATCCTGCAGAAGTATTCATTGATGACCTCGTGAAAAGAAGATTGATTCAGTTGCACGCTAGAAACAGCGGTCTCACAGAAGGAATACTCATCAAAGACTTGAATAATGCTATCTCCAAGCGGATACGCCATGGAACTCGGCTGGTGGGCAGCATCAAAGCCGCAGTCTGCTCACCAGCCGCACAACACCTCAGAAGCCTGCCCTCGACGACATAATCAAGGGCACAAACGAAACAATTTCAAAATTCCAGAAAACCCTGCCTCCCTCGAGATTTTTCTTCTTCTCACCATCGCCAGCTTTGCTGTTTCTTGCTAGCGACACCACAACCTCAGACCTCCAGGCTACTTTGGAGCACAGCAAATCAACCATGGACGACAGCGGTTAGTGCTTCATGAATCCTCATAAATACTGGCGTGGAATTCCGCGTTCCATGACTTCATCTACCCCGAGCATGTAGCCGGTGCTAACTGTGAAAGTAGACTCCTACCTCCAAGATCGAAGCAGCATGGAGGGCACCGTGCAGTACGTCCCGTGAGCCCCTATCGCTTACATACATGCCCTCCTTGTTCCCTGGACTGACTTCCTTGCAGGCCCAAGTTGGCGTATCCGGAGTGTCCTCTTGTCAAAAGCGACGACGCGGTCGACCAGGGTCATGCCGTCTCCGACTCGGCTGCCTCGCCTTCTCCCATCGCCTATCAGGACCAAGGAAGCAACACCGCCGGCGACAACACCATCGACGAGGACGACCGTGCTCTCTACCAGTTGCTTCGTTATCACGTCAATTCTGAGATCTCCTCGACCTCTTCTGACCCCCAGCCTACCGGATCAGTCCCCACACCCTTTACCTACCCTGTCGTGGGCGCGAGCGTTCCCAGTTACATCGCCGGCAACAACAACACAAGCCAGCCTGGAGTATTTGCCTCCCCCTCTGCCAACAGCGCCTCCTCGGGCACTCATGGTTACTTTCATTCGACCGGTTCTACGAATGCTGCTCCTAGCAACAACCTCACCCTCAACGCCCCAGTTGCAACTATGACCACTGCCCCTACCGGCACCGCGTCTGTGAACATGAACGCCGTCTCTATCAACACTGCGCTCGCCAATGCCCCTCCTGTCAACGCCGCTCCTGTCAACGCCGCCCCAGCCAACACCGTCGCTTACCAGGGACATCCCATCTACAGCCGCCGCCGCCGGCACCGCATCGGCACTCGCGGCTGCCACGTGGGCAGTAGCGGCATTGACCGGCCCAACCCTCCGGAGCCGCTCCCCATCCCTGGACCTCCGGCCGGAGCCCCTCCCGGCGTGACCTATCCTCTCTCTCGAATGGCATACAGGCCTCCTGCAGCTCCTTTCCACACCAGCAGCGGCCAGAAGCGATTCCCATGTAACCGGTGCGGTCTCGTGCGATCCAGAGAAGATGAAACTCGATTTCATCTTCGTGATGTTCACTATCGCCAAGAGTACAAGTGGATTCATTACGGAAATCATGAGGAGGGACTTTACTACTTCGGCATCGACCAGTCTAACATCGACTGCCCTAGCATCTAGGGCTAGCACGTCATCCAATCTGGCTAAGAGGGGTTGGAAAGGCAACTGGGATATGACGCTCTTGGTGGAATGTACAGGAGGCATAGAGGCCAAGAGGCCTTCAAGATGGAACTACCAGCCGTTCCTCTGAACATGGATTCGCTTGCCGCGCAGAAATAGTTTGTTGACAGACTCCGTGGCCTTTGCTTCAGACGCGCTGCTCATAGATCTCATCGGGCCTGTAGGGCCATCGTTACTCAAGGCACATTACAAGCATGGTTCTCCATAAATGTGATGGAATGAGTGTGTTGGATTTTCTGCTAGGTGAAATGAATGCGTGATGGCCATCTGAGCTGAGTCGTTTGCGAAAAATGAACGATAGGTGCTGAGCTGACAGACTCAGCAACCTTGGAGAAAGGAAACCATCCGTACAGCTGTCACCACCAGGGAGAATACTACCCTTAGATGTGACCAGGCTTTCCCATGATTCCATCTAACACACCACCCTGAAAGACCACCGAGGCTGCGTCTGAGTGTTGAGACAGAATCCACCCTTGAAGGTCCTCGGGTTCTTGCCACAAGTTCCGTCCTCGTAAGTATAGACTGTTCCCCAGTTGTCAGCATCTTCTCACAGACTACTCCTCGGCAAGATGGCTTACTGAAGCAAGGGCCGCGGATAAGATTTATTCCACGAGTGTGAGCCGCAAGCGTGACACACTGGTTGCGGTCGTAGGTTCGATGGGGCCCGCCGGAGCCTGAGTTGCACGTGTTGGTGCCGAAGAGCTGCAAAGTCACAGTGTTGGCCTGGCGGGCTTCGAGATCCTCCAAGTCTCTGGCTTCGACTTCTTTGACTTCCCGGGTGGGAGGTTCATCGATTTCTCGTGCCACGATGTCTTCGGGAGCTCGAGCCGCGACTTCGGCCACTGGGACCTCGACGCCGACGGCCTCAGGGGCGGGTGTTGCGAGAGAAGAGGGCGGCAGGACGGCGAAGATGGCAAGAGCGGCGGGGGCGATGTTGGTGAAGAGCATTTTGAATGGGAATTTGCTGTTGGTGGTGAAGTATCTGGTTTGCTTGACTTGTCCGACTGCGTCTGGGTTGGAAGTGAGAGAACTCAGAAGGAGAAGGGCAAGAAGCCTGCGGAATTTATAGTTGAGATTGGAGCGGCGGTTATCTTTTGTCTCACAGATACTCGGAAACCCTATCATCGTCTTCAGATAGCCTGGATGAGGGATATGGGCTGACATGCCCAGGACATGCTGCTTTCGATCACTTGGCAATTTTTCTCGTCGCCCGAGGCGTTGAAATCTGCCTCACGTTCTCATGTGGACGTTCGTAAGCAACGCCGTTGTTAACTCAATGGTTCATCCGGAATGGGTAAACAGAAGTCGTGGATATGACATCTATGCGCATTACTTCAACCAGAGTATCTCTCAACCAGCAGGTATTGTGCCTTGCTGCAGGTATACTAAGGAAAGCTGGCAACTTGCTAGATTTGGTAGAAACTTGTTGTAAATGTGAACTGGAAATCTTGGCCGTACTGAAATTCTCCAATAATGGGCGTGTGGATGCTGGTAACATTCATGAATTGCACTAAACAGTCACGCTCTCCAAGACAAACTGATAATGAAGGAGTATCAGGGCTTGGAAATTGACATGTCGATCGGTCGAATAGATGTCAGCTGTGGCGGGGTATTAGTCTCCAGCCAAGCGTTGCGAGAGACAGATCATCTAGTTGGATGTAAACCTCAGAACTACATTACTACCTCTAAAAGCACTAATTAGATATGGACATGGCGACGTGGGATGAGCAACGGTTTCGAGGCACTCTGTAGTGCAAATATTTGCAACGCTTCTTTACGAATTATTGCTCTGATCTTGCTAGCTCTTGCCGTTCAGAGTTTCTGTCATATGACCTGAATTTCTGTGGTCACGGCCAGCGACAATTGACTGAATCTGGAATGCTTTCTCAAAGCCCTCATACTCGCAAGAAAGAACAGCGGGAGTTTTGAGCTTTCAATAAACCCCATAATGATCCAACTGTGAATGTTTAATTAATAGCCCCATAGAGTAGGCTTTTCCATCTAACTTGCTTGGCGACGTCCTTTAGTGTCTCGCTTTCTACTTCAGTCGTCAAACAGACGGAATAAGGCATACGAAGTCGTTGTATTATCTTTTGGCTTATGACCAGGATATCGAACAGAATGATTCTGATGCCTATGTTATCTTCAGTCAAAGTCCCTGGTGGCATGAAACTCGGTGAGTGGAGAACAGTACCCAGTTCTTTCTTAAATGGAAGCCCTCATGGTATGACTACGATGGAACGCATGTGAGTGGTCTGCCATTCTCAGAAGTCTAAAGTGCCTTGTCTCAGAGAACGTTGTGATCGACCTCCCCATGGGGTAAATTGCGGCTCGGCGCGATGGTCTCACATTGGATGCCGCAGACGTCGATTCCATGAGACAAGTCTCCGGAACCACCCGTTCTACCAATTCCATTTCTGAAGAGAGTTGAAGATCTGCAGCTGGGGTTCTGTTTGTTTTCATCACGTCTGCATACTAATTGGTCATCGTGTTCGTAGTATGTGTCCATATGTCTAAGTGGGTTGTTTCGTTGATTGTTTCGGTCCGCCCACAACTGGTGCCTGTTTCCTTGGCCGGACTTTGGCCCTTCTAGGGCAACTGATGTCTACACTCACACAGGAGGTACGTTGCTTCGAGCCTTTCACCCGTTTCCGGCTCGATGTCCTGACTGTAGTGCCGCAGAATCGCCTAGGTGACTTACAAACATTCACAAAATACTTGCATACGCAGCATGTCTAGAAACATACGATGAATTTTATCTACACGGTGAGACATGAGTGTGCGGCCTTATGCCTGAGCCGTGGTTGGTGGAAATTGCCTCAAAGGCGGGCACGTGGCGGGCTACCTAGCATCTGGCAGATAGACGGGCAGACTGTGCTAAAGAGTGTCTGAAGCTAATAACTGGGCAATTGATGCAGTGCGACCGCCGTGGTCAGGAATGCAGGAAAGGCTCTCGCACAATTGTGGCCAGCGTATTTTCTCCTTCACTGCATTCTTAACCCACCCCGAGGCAATCAAGTCCGCCAACACCGTATTATCCTGCGGTATTTCGGATCAAGACAGACAGATACGCACGTCGCCACACACATGTCAGCAGCGAAAAGTCGGTCAACCTCACCGTTCTCTGCACTGCAAACTTAACCCCCCTAGAGGCAGCGTCCCAATCAGGCCTACGGATTGTCTACTCTGTCTACATCACGAGGAACTCACAGCACAGCCATCAATTCGCAAACACTCAGGACATATCATTATGCTCGCCATCTATGTCAGTCTCGGAACACCAGACGCCTCGGCCCAAGTATGCACGTAAAAGTCTAGCACGGAGAGTATCCATTTCCAACCATCAAATACCAGTCAGCCAGCCCTTGTCCCTCCTCATTGCCGTCCACTCGCGCAAAACACGCTTCCCAGGAAGGGTCGCCCCTTCAAATCAGGTCTTCGTGCCCGGTGTAAAGTCCCCGCGAACCCGACACTTCTATCCGGGTATCAATCCATAACACAAACATGCCGCACATCACCCCTTGGATTTCCAATGTCCGCTCGACAGCGTACCAAACTCCGGGGCAGGGGAAGTTGTGCGTCGACGAATGCACTCCCAAGACCCCAACGCTCCGGACCCTGCAAAGCCTCTCACGCCCCTGCTAGTGGTATCCCGCGAGGGGCAAGAGCCAACATACTCTACCCGATGCTACTCGGAAACGATCTTTGTATGTCGATGTATCCGGCAGACCGTGTCTTCCCAAAATCATGGTGTATATCAGGGTATCAATCTCGTCATATTGCAGCAGGTGCTCTAAGAATCGCCACCAGCAGGTCGTGATCGCTGTGCTACCACTTCCCGTGCGTAAAACTCCACCAACATGGTTGCATACGCCTCCAGGTCTTCAACGGGGACCGCAAGTCGGAAGTCGTTCAACAATAGAAACTGCAGCTCAAGGTGATTGAGCTCCGCCAAAGGAAGCCCGCCGACCTGTAAGCTGTCAGAGATGGGGTCACATTGCGTCGAAACTGACGTTAACATACCTTGGCGTATCTAGAGTTGGTGTAGAATACGTCCGAAAAGAACTTGCTCGCACAAGTTACGCCCGCAATAATTAGCCGGTGGATATTAAAGCTGTCAACAACAAAGTATGTCGCCGGTCCGGAGGCTCCCGGAGGCGTGGGCTGCGGAACGATGCCTCCGTCGGTAGGAGTCGCCGTCTTTTCGTTCACGTCCTCGTCATCGGCGAGATCCGAGTCCGTCTCGTCACTGTCTCTCATGTCTACGTCTGCAGACTGCGGACGCGAGGTTGACTGGGAAGTTGACTGCCGTCGGGCCTCCTCGTGTTTGACCACCATCGCGTTGACTCGTTCCGTCATACGGTCAAAGTATACTAATAAACTCAAAAAGACTTCGTACGTGGTGGGGCAGTACTTGTGAATGCGGGAGAGATAGCTGAGGATGGTGATGGCAGGGATATTCTTGCCATGGAAAGCAAGGACCGAGGTGCTGAGAGGGCTCATCGGAGTACCGTTGCCTGACTCGTTATTCTGGCTGGCTTGCTGTTGGTGCGCCACGTTTCGCTGCATGGCATCGTGTTGCAGATCGTTGGTTGTGGTGATTTTTGTAAGGAGAGCGGCCACCATTTCGATAATATCGCCAATGGGCATGGCGCTGATCTCGTACTTCATCTGTTGGAGGGGAGGATCGTTCAGTATCCCTGGCCCATTGCCCGTAACCATATCTGCCTTGGCAAGGCTCTGAATGTGCGCCAAGTCGCGCACATGAATCGTAGTCTGGCCCTGAGGCTGCTGGCGGGGAGAAGAGGTATTGGACATGGGGTACGAGGGAGCGGCAATGGCGTCGCCGTCGGAGGCAGGGGAGGGCTGCTGTTGGTCTTGGCGCACGGCCGGAGTAGAGCTCTCAGGTGCAGCTACAGCAGCAGCATGGCTGTTATCGC